CTCCGTATACCGTTTTTCCAAAAGCAAAGCAGAAAAATAATCACTCTTCCATTTTTTGGTTAGACCAGATTGTACATAGTGCATTATTAAATTATTCATCACTGGCAAATACGGAAACCCCTTCTCAACAATATATCCTATGTGGTAAGCTTGAACATACTCATCCACAATAGTTAACATAGGCACACCTAAGTTATCTGTGTAATACAGATCTATCATAGCTTTAGCATCAACAAACCTTTCAACAGCCGCAACTGTTCGATAGTTTGCAGCTATAAACATTGAAGTTTGATTGGAACCCAACTGAATCGTTTTCCTCCTCAAGTTTTTAAAAGTTTCCGATTCAATTTTGGAGTTGAACAATTCAGATTGGTGAGTATTAATTCTGTATCCAGATCTATCCAATTGCTTTAATGTCTTCACTTCAGGATAATACTGAGATGTTGTAGAAAACTTATATAGACTTGCTCCAAAAATCGAATTTATAATAATTACAAACATAAAACAACTTATTACAAATATTCTCCTAACAGATAAAAATGCAACCTTACTCAATGGCTGGTTTAGAAATATTTGGGCTAGATAGAAATAAGTTTTTTGTTTATTAAATAAATTATTAAGAACAAAAACAGTTATGGTAAATAAGAGTATCAACCCCCATATTTCCTTAGAGAAACATAAAGTTATTTTCTGCCATTGGGCCAGTTTTTGTGATTTCGGTACCATAATACAAATGGTATCCCAGAAATACGGTGTTGTATACTCAAAATTACTCGAATTGTAGTATACGATAAACCTCCCGTTCCCTGACATGCTTGCTTTACCTTTGATTATCTTTCCTATTGTTCCATTAGCCACTCCTTCAGAAGAAACCTTACCAAAATCACTTTTATCATAACTAAAACTGATTTTAGTGGTAAAATTCATATCCCTCACTATGTTGTAAATAATTATAGGATCCAGACTGTGCAAGCCAATAGTTCTTTTCACATCCTTATATAGTTTGCTTTCTGCAATAGGTTTTGGAACCTTGGGAATAGAAGATAGCTTTCTTTCAAACATATGTACAGATAACTCTGCACCATTCACATTTTTTGCGGTATTATACATCAGCAATGGGTTTCTTAAAATCGCTTCTACTCTATAAGCTTTGGTAACACCCAGTAAACCATTCTTAGATCTCAAGAAAGGCTTGTATGCAAAGAAACTATTTGCATAACTTGAACAAGGTGCGTGAGCCAAAACATTCAGCAATTTATATGATTTCCATAACGATGAAAGTAAAACTGGCAAGTTATCTAAGAACCTGGATGTTGTCTTGGCAAACAATAATAGATTTAGTGATCTTGGTTTAGCAACAAGAATCTTCGCTATGTTAGTTTCTAAACATGTCAAAAAAATTTCTTCATTTTCTGTAATGATTATATTACCTTCATATGAACACAAAGTTTTTTTTAAGTTGTATATCTTAAGTTCGTTTGTAGTATTATCGAAGCTGTAGCTAATATCATTTTTAGAGCCTTCATATTTCGGTTTATAACTGCACCTTGAGTTGAAGTTTATAATATTTATGTTTCTTGGAACAAAGGTATTTGTGATTTTTGATATATCGTCTAGTATATTTGATTTATTTCTATCTGACAGTTTGTTTGGTTTAAGTATTGTAATATCAACATGCCTTACTGATGCCAGATATTCTCTATAAATATCTGTGATATTTTGATCCAAATTATCCATAACTTTAAATTCATGCTTGTGGCTTTTTATGATCTCAAACATATTAAAAAATAAAAAAAATAAAATAAAATATTCGGACTTTAATTTTAGCATTGCTTGTGTATTGTTTCAACAGAAAACTGGTTCTGAAAGTTAGTTGGTTACCCAGTTTGAAAGCAGGCTCTAGTTTTGGCCTTTTAGCTCAAATTAAGTACGTTAAAAACAAGATTTAATCTCTTCTACATACATTAGCGTTTCCTGCAATATCAATTAAGAACTTTCGTTTGTTCGTGTTTTATTTAGTAGCTTTTTATTCTCTTTTGTTCTGTTTTCCCTCTAAAAGCTTTATGTTCTACATTTTCTGGTAAAGAGTATTTAAGTGAAATTTAATTAAATACTTTACTACTTAAAAGATAAATAACGTTGTTAGTTCTGTAATTATATCAAGATACAAGGCGATTGAGAATGATTGAAATACCTAGTTATTTTGATTTTGCTGAATTGTTTATAAAAAATTAGAAATGTCGTATGTATGTCATCATCCTCATCGCCATCATTTTCAGCTTATTCAACCAATTATGGTGTAGCCTCTGTCACATATTTAGATACTCTCTTTGTAGTTGGGCCCATTTCATTGTTGTCTATTGTTGGCCTGGCGGGTCCATATTATCCCTGCCAATTTCCTGATATCATGATCCCATTTCAGGTTCGGTCTTCTTCTAGGTTACAGTTGAGGGTTGGAACCTTTGGTGTTACACAGCAATATAAAAACACTAAATCACCACAATACACCAAAACACTTTTACTTTTACACTAGACGCGCGTTTCGCTAACCATGTTAGCATCATAAGGAGATGATTATAAACTAAAGTACAATCTACAAGTTAAGCGTTTATATACTCGCCCGGTGGGCACCGAGTGGGCGTGGCAAAATTTAGCCAACCGAGTCAGAGCCCACTGAGCGTAACAGTTATATTTCCGCCACTAGAGTAGTAGGAACAAAGAACTTGAAGTATACTTCAAATATTAATCAAATTGACAACGTAAATAAAAAATGGATCTTCTACAGAACATAATATTATATTTCTTGTATTTTTTTTTTCTTTCATTTTCATATTTCTATTACGTATATTCTTAAATTACTCTCATTTTCTTCCAATGTATTTCTTTCTAGATTAAAATGCGTTTTTGTTATTTTTTATTGTTATGTCTGAATGAAAAAAAAATATATGAAAGTAGTTATTACATTTTTAATTTAGTCTCTGTTATAATATTCTATTATAAAAAAATAGATTTCAATTATGTATAAAGAAAACAAATGTTTTCGTTTAATTTTCATAATAAAAAAATAAAAAGCAGACTAAAATTTTCCAGACCAAACCAACCAAAATACCATGCGATCGAAAAAAAACTATGTCAAAGAAGGCAGTGGATAAAAATTGCTGAAAATTTTACTGCCAGATGGATTTTGAAATAATGTAGTTTAAAATCCGAGAAAAAATAATTTCTTGGAAATAGATTTGTGTGCCTGGAAACGGTCTTATCCTTTTTATTCTTCTTCTTAAAGTGCCTATCCTCTTTGGCTGTTGGCACACACATTGATCCATATTACTTTGTTCACTGCCGTTCTGAACAAAGCTGTTGACGTCAATCCGGTCCATGTTCGTAGATTTCGCAGCCACTGTATTCGTCTGCGTCCCGCTGATCTTCTACCTTCTATTTTCCCCTGCAGTATGAGTTGGAGTAGGCGGTATTTCTCGTTCCGCATGATGTGTCCGAAGTATTCCAGTTTTCTACGTTTGACATTCACAAGAAACTCCAACTCCTTGTTGATGCGGTGTAGTACAGTCTCATTTGACACGCAATGCAGCCACGAAATCCTAAGCATGCGCCGATAGCACCGCATCTCAAATGCCCTCACACGCTTGCATGATGCGTCGGTAAGGGTCCACGCCTTTGCTCCATACAGAAGGGTTGAGAGCACGTAGCATCTCAGGATTCTGATTCTAGTGCGGACGTTGACGTCATCCTTATTTTATCCTGCTACAATTAGTCTTAATTTTTGACAAGTTTTTAAGATAATTTTTAGTAAATGATGTCTAGAGATTGGCCTCGCCAAAATTATCATCGATTATCATTCCCAAGCTATTTTTGATGCCATTTTTTTTTTCGTTCATACGGGATTATTGAACCGATGAATCTTTATTACACATTCTGGTTACTTTAAAAGAATAATTGACATTATTGTGCGAAAAAAAATCCTCATTTAGTTATAGAGGGACCGGACCACAAATTAGATACTTTTTGAATTTCTAGGATAGCGTTCGAAATAACACAATGAATAGCGAAAACATGTACAAAAACTGAAACAATGAAGTCAGGTATTGCGCACCATGTTTGGTCAAAACAGCACAATATAAAGTGGTCGGAAGCTCGTGTTGCCCACAGGGAAGTTCATTGGAAAAAGCGTAAATTTAAAGAAGCAGTTTTTATAGCAAGCAATAATAACATTTTTAGCAATTCTAGTACCGAAATACCTACGATATGGCTACCACTGATAAAACGCTCCAATGCAGGCATTCTATGTGGACAACCTCACAGTTACGACCGAGAAAAATTGAATTTTCTTAATTTAAGTAAGAACAATCTTCGGATTGTCACACGGTTTTTAAGAGGACATTTTCTAGATTTAAGTTAAGAAACAACGGCAAGTGTAGGTTCTGTGGGGAGAATGGGGAAACACTAGAAAACCTCATCACTGAGTGCGCCGAGACGACAATCATTCGTGTCATAAACTTTCATACGACTGATATCGGAAATGGAGAACTCCCCTCTGTAAAACCGTTTCAGCTACTGGCTTTTATCAAAGCCCTGAGCCTGTATGAGTTATAACTGAAGAACTGGGGACACAACAGTTCTAATGATATTGTCATTTATAATAAATGCATTATATTCATTTTTTAACATGAATTGAAAACTAATTAACCAAAGTTTTATTCATAGGCGTTTGTCAAACTTCTAATAACGCAACTTTTGTCTCATTTAACCAAATTCGTATCTCTCATAGTTCCTGAGGTGCTATTATCGAGCATCGAAATTGTCACCACTCTGTATAATAGATTATTACGTCAAAAGTATTACAATTAAATTAAGTAGCAAAAACATACAAAATACCAAATCATTAAATATCTTATCACTCATCCCAATACGTCAGAGTTTACAGTATTGAAGTGCTACTTCATCATTGTTTTAATCTGTCTAAAACCCATTATATAAAAGAATAATTAAAATAATTGCTGGATCATTCTCAGTTGTAAGTATCGACTAGAATACTAATAAAAAAAGCTAAATCATGAAAATTATAGTTCTTTTAGTGGCCTTGTTAGGTCTTACGTATACTGGAGCTGGTAAGCATAACAATTAACTATAAAGACTTATCTTCTAAAAGCCAATCATTATAAATCAAAATTAATCAATTATATCACGAAGGTTAAAATGCATTGTGATCAGAGCTGCAAGCTCACAGTAAACTTAAATCTTTTTTTGACTTAAATAATTAAGACTAATTTTGACTTAATTCATTTGATTTTAAGTCATTTTCCGAAAGCTGACTTAAGACTTTTTAGAAAAGACTTAAGTCATTAAAAAGATTTAAATCTTTTTATAAAAGGCTTAAGTGAGATTTTTATATATTTTTATGTTTTATGATAAATTTTTAACAGCAGCATTTATTTTTAAATTGTTAGGCGGCACCAAGCAACAGAATAAAAACAATGCTTAATACCACTAGTAAATAAAATGTTAGTTTTTCGAAACCAGTTTTGATTATTTGTCGTGTTACGCGTGCGTAGTGAGTCTGTTGTCTTTCAAGTGAATCCCCGACTCCGTTATGTAGCCCGAAAGACGAACGAAAGAAATTTATCTCGAATATATTGAAGAGTATCTTAAAATCCTCCAGCCCTTAGCTTATGCCATCGATATAAAGTGATCAAAACACATCACCCCTTTTTAATAGACATGTATTCGATGATATGTAAACTGTGTATTGGTAGTAAGTACTACAAAATCGCTTAAATTTTATACCTAATAAAAAACATATTTTTCCGTTTGTAGTTTTCTGAAAATTAACCATTTTATGTGGTTTTGTCTCATCTGTACCAACAATAAATTAATAATATGATACTAGTAAGACAATCGCCTAATTGGTAATACAAGAAAATTAATATTAACATTTAAAAAAAGTATTTAAATTAAATTCTGTTTGTCTTAACTTGAGGGTAATTTAAAAGTAAGTCATTTTTTACTGACTTAACTTGCAGATCATCATGATTTAAGTCAAAAATATAGACTTAAGTCATAAAAACGAGTTAAATAAATAACGTGATATTGATTCAACTCTTTACAAAAATGACTTGACTTGAATTAAAATGATTTAAGTCAAAGACTTAAGACTTAAATCATTTAAACTTTATGTTGACTTTGACTTAAGACTTAAATTATTTTGATTTTAGAAATGACTTAAGACTTAAGACTTGATGAATTCACTTGGCTGATGAAAACGCGTTTTTAAGAAAAAAATTTCTCGAATTCTCAAATATAATGTCAACTTTAAATCGGTTACAGATTCAACAGATGGAGTGAATTATTTCATTTGGTGTACTTACAAGGCCATCGATGATGGAATTCCTTCTATTCCCATACCAAAACATAACCCTCTAGTTATTCGTAATATCAGTTTTGAACTAGACCAACCCTTGCTAAAGTAAGTATCTATCTTTTATATCTATATCAAAACTTCATACTTCGTACTTTGAAGAAAAATATTAAAGAAGATATCAACAAATTATTGGTGGAGCGCGATGGGGGTTTAATATGGCTGACTAAACTCTGGTTTATCAGTGCCGTTCTAATTTATTTAAAAATTAAAAATATAATATAGGGTAGGCCCAAAATTTTGTTGGTTTTACTTCAAGTTGTCAATGTCAGTTATTAAGATTGTAAAATAATATATTTCTAATAAAAATAGATGATATATTAATGATTTAATAACAGAGATTTTAGATACGCTATTGAAACACCAAATTCAAATTATATATTGTATAAATAATAAATATAATTAACAAGCTCAACAACGCACAACAAATCCGCAAAATTTCAAATCAAATTCAAATGTGTCGATTGAAACGTCAAACAGAACTGTAAAAAAATGGGAGTTTATAATGTCGATTCCGTCTCTAATGCATCTTAATCCTCTATGCTTTCTTAATCTTTTCATTCAAAGCTTCACAACTCAAAACTACAGTTCAGGTTGGAACCTGTGGCATAACAACATCAGAATAAAACACTAATTCACAACTATAAATCAAAATACTATATTTACAATGTTAACATTAATTTATAATGTTAACATTAACATGTTTACATAAACAATGTTAAAAAATATTGTGTTTTGGTATAAATCAGTATCAAATATCACTTTTTTGTAGAGTTCAATTTAACGCTACAAATAACGTTCTTTATGATCTGTTAAACGCTACTTTCAAAGAACTGAACGTCACAGATTATCATGATCCAGAAAAAGTGAAAATCGACTATGATCTGTACTGGCCTTTGCTGAATTTGACTGGAGATTATTCATTCTACTACAAAGTTCCCTTTGTAGATGCTTATCAAGTAAATGGATCATACAAGTAAGTATGAATAGCCGTAACACATGTTAACTGAGTCAAAATGATATGTGAATGAATAACACTAACAGGGATGCAAATATTTACAGAAAAAAATTTGCATTCATTTAAGATTTACCCTGTATAACATAATTTACAATTATTCTATTTCAACAAGCATTTTTAAACGGTTTTATTATCTTTTTTTTATCAACATTAATGTGTACTTATTTCTAAACCACACTAAATGACAAGTTCACTTATAGTTTTTAATAATTAATTTGTCCTTAAAGTTATCAATCTTCTGGGAATAATTACTTTATAAGGCTTTCCAAGCTTTCATTTTTAAAACTGCTGTTATCCTTATATTGATATAAATACGAGTATAAATATAAATGTAAGATTATAAGTATTATTTCGATCTGTGTAATAATGATCCGTCTGGTACCTAATACCATACGGTAAAGAAAAACGGCGTCAAAGAAAGCTAGGGAATGACAATCGACGATAATTTTGGCGAGGTCATGCTTTAAATGTCATTCGCTTGGCCTGTACACTTTTTTTATTTTATTAATGGCGCTTACTGCCAGTTGATGTAAACACCTCTGCGTTAATCCAACGGAAACCAACTTGTCAGCGGTGATTTACTAATAAACAAATTTGCCTAACGGATAGAAAAATGCTTAACGTTTCGGTATATCTCTTCCCGTCGCCGGAAGCAAAAAAAACATAAAGAACAAAGAAAAAAAAACAATTTAAAATTATGTAAATACTAGTATTCAAGAACACTTTAGGTTTTTTCAACATATACGTCTGATGTAAAAACCGTTGGCGTTCTATTAAAATGACATCATATCCAAGATGAACTTCTAAATTCACAATTACTACCTGATAACAATTACTTAATGAGATAAAACCAAAAAACCTCAAACTTTGAGATTAGATTAAAAAAATAAATTAAAAAAAAAATAAACTAAAAGATTAAACTTTTAAGGCGGGCGGCCACTGCGAGCGAAATTAACTAAGCCAAGCGAAGATAAGATTTGAAAAAATCAGCTCCCATACTTTTAAATGCATCAGCGGCCACTTGAGCGAAACTAAACGAAAATATACGAACGAAGATTCAAATCGTAGTTTAGTTTCGCTCGCTTTAGTTCGTGACAGGTTCAAGCGAATTTTTCGCAGCGATTAGTTCCATGACAGCAGAGATACAATACGAAAACGCAGCTAAGTTCCCAGTGGCCGATAAAACTTATTTTCGTTTAATTACCGTTTGTTTTTATATTCTTAGCTTAGTTTAGTTACGCTCGCAGTGGCCGCCTGCCTTAAGATTTGTGTGTCTGGAAAGGTTCTATCGTTTTTTAATCTTCTTACAATTAGTGTTAATTTTTGACATTTTTTATATTAATTTTTAAATAATGACTTTTTGCTCCCAGACGTCTAGATATTGACCTGACTGAATTTATTATCGATTGTCATTCCCCTACCGTCTTTGACACCTATTTTTTTATTATACAAAATGTTATTAATTAATTTAATTATAATGATATAAAGCTGAGTTCTACAACTTAGTAACAGGATGATTATTTCAGTATCCTTTTGGAACATACTGATTGGACTGGATACCTTGGTTTCGTGGAGCCTGGACAAGCCAATGTCACTAGTGAAGTAGATGAATTCACTCTAGCATCTGCTGTTAAATCTGTTGAGGTAGCTTTATAATACTGACTATCTGACAGTCTAACTTATTCAGTGTTACATATAAACAAGGGTGTTACTAATAAAGGAATATAATGGACATGATAACACAGCTTCAGTGAAACTGATCAGTATCTTCCTGCTTTCAGTGAAAGTGAGACCTAGTTATAATTCTCTTCATTTTGACTGAACAATATTAAAAGAAAAAGGCTTCGTGCTGGAGGGTTTTAAGGAGAGAGTTACGGATCCCACAGTTATCTTGGCAAAATAAAATTGACTGGCTAAATTGGTGCCTTCAACATCAAAACTAGAAAATTGAGAATTTGCAAAATGTTCTTTTTTCTGATGAGACCAGCAGTGGTCTAAGATCAGATGACCATTGAATTCGGGTTCTTAGAGCTCCAGAAAGACAAGCGAGACTCCAGGGCTGGAACTCTGTAACGAAATAGCGATCGGTAGCGATGAAGAATACTGTCGCTTGCCGTTTAGTTTGTACGACCAAGGTCAGTATTCTTTATCGTTACCGATCACTAATTCGTTACAGAGTTCCAGGCCAGGCTGCCAAATGTGTACCAAGATATAAATGGGGAACTGTAATATTCTGGGGAGGTATTAAGCTGGGAGCAAAAACTACATTGTTACCACTTCGACAAACTTTAACGGGTCGAAGGTATGTTGATTTGGAGCTAGAACCAATCGTTAGGCTTTGGAGAGCTGCAACTGGGAATAAATTTAACTTCATGCGCGATAATGTACCTCCCCATACCAGCGTGTGGCTAGAGAATGTCTTAGTTTAAAACGGAGGGTGTCATAGTTTTGGACTGGCCTGCATGTTCAACAGTTCTAAACACTATCGAACACTTGTAGGATCAGTTCAAAAGAAGGGTTAGAGCTCGTCGAAACAATCCAGGAAATATCGCACAGCTTATTGATGCAGTCATTAGCAGAATGGGAAAACATACCCCAAGAAAACGTTCATAATTTAATAAGAAGCATGCCAGCGCGTATAGAAGCTTGCATAAGATCTAGAGATGGCAACACGGATTCTTAAAATTATCTTTTTTTTGTATCCTTGCTTTTTCACCATTAAAAATTCAAATCTCATTTTTTGAAATTGAGAAAGTCTTTGGTAAGGACTGAGTTTTATGCATAAACGCAAAATGTTCATAGATCTCAAAAATTATGGGTTTGGTTGTGTTTAATTTAACTAGAGCCTCCTTTTATTTCTGCGTAATATTCACTAGCTGGTCCACCATCTACGACATTTTCATTATTTTTGATACATTAAAATCTTTCGTAATTCATAATTGTAGACATACTTCTCAAAGAAGTGGTTGTAAATCAACTAGCAAAATTAGACTTATTTGAACACAACAAGCACCATTTTCCATCTTTATGTAACACTGAATCTGTGAGGCTGAGATTTGAGAAACCGCCTTTAATGAAACTTTTGAATTTTAGGTTTCGATTGACGGTTTTAACGGTAGTTATATTGAAAGTACAATTCAAGAAGCCATCTACTTTGCTTTCAACAATTTCCCTAGTTCTGCAGCTGAAACATTGAGAGTTGATAGATTCAACGAATACTGGCTGGGCAGTTCAGAAAGAATGCAAGCTATTTTCGACAATTGCAAAGAAGATTAATAATATTTATTATTTTGTGATGTCTAAATGAATAGAGGAACTGAATAAAGAAGAATATAAAGTTATATTTTAGTATTTATTATAAATAACCCCTTACAGAATAAATAAGTGTATCTCTTCTAAAAAAAATTATAATTTTTATGTACATTTGTCTGACTTTTTGCTTTTTTTACTACACACAGCTTTTTTTTACCTTGCAGGATTAATAAATTACCCACATCGCTCAGCTGGAGAATATTTTGGACGAAATAGATAAAAAGCTGATAAAAAACCAATTTAAGGAATGGCTGACTTGAAGTATAATCAAAAAATAAGATGCCAATTATTGTTATAGCTTAGGCGTGCCGGAATTTGTGACGTATTTGATATAAAGTTTTGTTCACACATGCTACGTCAAAACACCGACCGGTTCCCGATAAAATACTAAGTTAAGCGACGTTAGAAAGTGGATGGACGGGTGACCGTCAGGAACGTCTGTCGCGTTGTTGGGGGGGGGGGGTCCATGGACTTGGCAAAAAGTGTAAAATCTATTGACACACACTGATCACTAAAGCCGGTTTGAGACAGGATGAGATCGGACATCTCGTGAGTAAGATTCCAAGTCAGTAGACCATTGATAATTAAATTTAGGGTTTCCAATTTTCGGGATAGGGATCCCGTATAAAAATCTCGGAATACCGGGATTGACTATCAGAATGAGAAATCTAATCTAAAGAAATACTTAATAGAATTATAAGAATACAGCTACAGTTCATACCAAATAAACTTTTAGTCACGTGATTGACCGGCACAGCGTTGTCCACTTTTATATATTTTCTTTTAATCAAAATATTTTAGAAAACAAAAATAATTTAATTAGAAATATAAATTATTATTATCACATCAACAAAACTCACCTTCTTAACAGCACTTAAGGGACATAAAGGGTCATTACCTACTACCGCTTTCCCGTTCAAAATATTCTAGTAAAGTTGCGATGAGTTTTTTACGGCTATTAAGGTATCTTGTACACTTTGCACTAAAAAAGGTTCTAAAAAGAACAATGTTCGAATGCGAAGTCTGCTAATAAAGATTTTTAAGCTTAAAGTATCACAACACTATTTAATAATAATAATGATAGCTCCCGTATATATAGCGTTTAACGCCTTGGGAGTAGCAAGGTACAGCTTGCCATGCTAGAGCCGTTCGGTATACAAGGAAGGTAATGTGGCTAGCACTACGCTTCAACCGCCTATTATTACCTCAGGATTGTGAATCCCAAGTACTCATTTAAGGCTAAGTCGACCTAGGTACCTAAACCTTTTTATTTTAATAAAAATAGTTGATAAAATGCCGGCTGTAGGATTCGAACCCACAACCTTGAGGTTGGTAGACGAGAGCTGTACCTCTACGCCACCGGGCACCACACACTACAACACTATTTATTTAACCCAAAAACTCATAATACGAAACTAAAGTGTCAAAACGAATGACAATGTCATGAAATAAATAAATAAATGCGACGACTTGACATTTTTTACAGCAGACCTACCACCTGAATCCCCAGCGCAAATTTTAAATTCGAGTTAGTCAGTCCGGCGCCGAATATGTCCATGGTTGGCAACAATGAATTTAAAAATCGCGCCCTGGATTACGTAGCTAAAAGTTTAATTGATATCAAATATAGAAAGATATCACATTAGGAACCTAGCTAGTGTAATTTTGTATCCTCCTTTATTAGATGATAAAATTATTCGAAAAGATAGGTACAAGTTTCCAATTTCTGCAAACCCGATTTTTCAAGTGGATAAAGACACTTCAAATTATGTTTCAATACCATTTAATAGAGAGTTAAACCGTGGTTTAAAATGAATTTTAAAAATGTCAATAAATAATAATTATGTATAGCGCTAATATTAAATTACAACTTTTAGGTAATACTAACCAACTGGGACGTTAACTAAATTGCTTTTTTCTCCATCAAATTACTATTTCAACCAAGTTTTACCTACCTACTTCCACTTTCGAGTTCGAGTTACCTATTTTTCCTCATCAAGAGCTGCAGCTGGTAGGTATAGCTACTAATTTCGCAAATTTTCAGTGGAAACCGCTACAACTAACTAAATCGAAGAAGAAGTTTGAATAGCCGTCACAGATGTTGACAGAATGACACTGAGACGGTACGGCAACTGAGACATCACTCACATATGTGAACAGACCTTTATACTAAAAATGTGCAAATTTATTTTTTTTTACATTTTGCAATAAAACTAACAATACAAAATTAACAGTTATTTATTTAACTTGATTGCTTTTTAATCGTGCAACATATAAACTAAATCATTATACCTAGTGGAATGTACGTATGGACGGTGAAGTATATAGCCGAATAAAAATTTTATCTCCTAATCATATATACTATTTCTTATAAAATAAAACATACTAAAATTATAATAACACCCTATACATTATTTATGATTTTTGCTAGGTGACCGTTTCTTAAATATAAACATTTTATTCTAATATAATAACAAAATTCGAACATATACATTTTTAGTGTCATTAAATTTTAAAACCAAACAACAAAATAATATTAATTTAATTAATTATAAAAAGTTTCATAACAATTAATTTATACAGACGATTATTTTTAGATCTCTCGAAAAACTTCTTACTGTAGCAAAGTTTGCAGAATAAACTTGTAAGTACTAAATAATACAGGGTATGTCGTAAATAAATGCACATATTTTTAGGGATGGTATATTTTGATACCAGGTAAAACGTCTATAAAAATTTTTCGCGAAAAATTTTTTTTAGAATTTTATATTTTGGGAAAAAAAATAGGAAACGTTTAGAATTTATAATTTATATAGGTGGTTGAAAAAATTTAGAGGAACATAGAAAATAAAACAGTGCATCTGAAAATGTATGCCAAAGTTTTCTTTTCTCTTCAAAGTAAAATAACTCAGCTATTTTGGGCTTATTTGAAAAACAGTAACGAGAAATTAGGTTTCTTTTGTCAAGACCTACCAGTCCTGAAAATATGCGCACTTGTTTTTAAGACTCACCCTGTATAGATTTCATTTAGTCCACAAAAAAACATGAACCGATACGTCAAATTACTAAAAAAATTGACGTTTTGGGTACCTAAAATTTCTAATCTAAATCTATCAATGCAGCTTTTATTTTTATTTTACTACAAGTTATTTTTTATATTATGTTACGGTTGCCAAATTTAAAAAGTCAGATATCACCACTCTCATGGTAGGTATTTAAAAATAGTACAGATAAAATATACCGGGTGCGTCTCAAAAGTGGTTCACCCCTATAACTTTTTTATTTTTTCAGTTAAAAAAACGAGATTTGGTATGTTAGTTATATGACATAAATTAGGATTGAGTGATGTATTCACTTGTTTTTAGTTACTTCCTGTTTCACCAGAAATTACTACAACTTTTGATTTTTAAATGGCACCCTCGGTATTTTTTTACTTTATTCGATAGAAAATGACATTCTGAATAGAATGACATCATATGTCAATTTTGACATTTTTGCATAGGGTTTATTTTATAATTATAGCTTGCGGTTTGTAACGAAAATTTGACTCGAAATACCAAGTGTATGGTATCAAATTATTCGTAAAAAAATGTTTTTTCCAAATATACTAATGAGCCACCCTCATTCCATTTGAAAAAATTGAGATATGATTAAAAATACGATTTGAGCATTTTCTAACTGGCCATGACAAGACACTAAAAACATTACACGATCAAATCTATCTTTCCAAGGCTCCTTGATTAAGAATTAGTGTTTTTAATGGCATGGCACTCTAGATTGAATTTTAAAATACAATTTTTTATTAAGCGAGAATGTCAAAAGTTGACATATGATATGTCATTCTATTCAGAATATCATTTTCTATCAAATAAAGTAAAAAAATACCGAGGGTGCCATTTAAAAATCAAAAGTTGTAGTAATTTCCGGTGAAACAGGAAGTGATTGATGTGAAACAGGATGAAAACATTTGAATACGTCAATCAATCCTAATTTATGTCATATACCTACTAACATACTAAATCTCGCTTTTTTATCTGAAAAAATAAAAAAGTTATAGGGGTGAGCCACTTTTGAGGCGCACCCGGTATAAATATCACTAATTAGTATTACATCACTAATTAATATCACTAGTATTACATTCTAAAATACAATAATTATTAAGTATGCGTGTGCCGCTTAACAAAAAAAATAGATAAAAAAACAAAAAGTCTTAAAAATTATATAAATAATTATACCTAAATACTAAAAATTATAGTAACTACTTAAGTACCTATTTAAAATATGATGATATAAAATAATCTAAAGTAGATTAGATCTTTGAATATTCAAGCTCAATGTGAATAATTAGCAATATGTGTGATGTTATAGAGTATATTTTAGTTGTTTAAAGCTAATTAATTGCACACCACCCTTTTATTGCAATTTAATATTGTATTTTTTGTACATATTTAAACAATCTCAGAATATTACATCTCCATGACACAAGCGATGTAAATTTTCATTTCTTCTTTATGTATAAAGAATAGTTTTAAATATATATATATTCGGGCTTATTACTCAAAACTTATTAGGACCTAAACTAAAATCTCTATTTTTAAACAATTTTTTTGAAAATTAATATCTTTAGTTTATTTTTATTTTATTATTGCTTATTGACATTAAAAATTGGAATTCTGTAAATCTGTCAACAAAAAAAATCTGTCAAATATATGGTTTCTTGAAGCTAAAGTCTAAAGTCTTTATACAACCTCGAATAACGTACAATATCTCAAATATACCGGGTGTTTCACAAAAGTGGCTCACACCTCAAACATTTTTTTATATAACTTTTATCAGACAAAATGAAGAAATTTTATACATTAGTATATGACATTAATTAGGATTGATTGACGAATTCAATTGTTTTCGGCCACTTCCTGTTTCACCGAAAATTAGTACAACTTTTGATTTTTAAATGGCACCCTCGGTATTTTTTTAGTTTATTCAATAGAAAAGCATATACTGACGTACCAAATATCGTTATTTTTTTGTCTGAAAAAGTAAAAAAGTTATAGGAGTGAGCCACTTTTGAGAAACACCCGGTATAAAAAACCTAAATTAAAATAAATAACTCTATGATGTTATTTTTCTTCATTAAACAATTAAGATCTTTTTTTAAATAATAGCACCTTTCAAAGTTGCTGTAAATATACAGGATGTTCAAAAAATATATGGCTAAATTTCAGAAACTGGTTCTCAATAAAAAAAAATGGAAAAAAGATCCTATAAACATGAGACCAGAAATGCGTTTTTTTTTGTAATTATCTTAAATACACTGTAGCCAACTTTTTTGAAAATTGTCAGTGTTATTTCTAGTAATAATTCCCTTTATTATTAAAATAGTTACTTTCAGTAGCTTACCAGAGGAAAAAAATGTACGCCACTGACATTTGCAATTTTTATATATTTTTTAGATTAAGCTAAGATTAACTATAAATGCAACTCCTCTGTTTGTTTCTCTTGTACCATATGCCTATCTGGAACTGTTTTCGAGAAGAAAAAATAAAACCAATTCAATCTGGTCACTGTATCCCATTAAAAAAACTATAAAAAATTAAATTTCAATTTGCACCCAAAAAATCTAATCTCCTAATCATAAATTGAAAACCGCGTTTCGCTAGCTACTGTAATTTTAGAGTTACGATTTTTTTAAATCTTTAACCCCCTCCCATACCCCCTTACCAACCCCCACCCCCACGAAAAACTAATGGCCAGATTCTCGGGTGCCACAGTATTTTTGTGCCGAATTTGGTTAAAATCGGTTTAGCGGTTTTTGAGTTATCGTGTTACATACAGACGGACAGACAGACACCATGAAAATATGTTGTATTTAGGTCATTTATGAACCAAATAACTCATTTTGAATGAAATTAAAAAACTTTTTTTTGTCGATCTTAATAGCCTACCATACCTGTTGGTATGGTCGGCTAAAAATATATATGTACGTTTAAAAAATTACAAAAAAATGTATTTTTAACATCTCAGTTTTAACATCCTTTATCATTAAGACTTTATGGATGGGATTTACAATCCCATGTTTACAGGAACTTTTTTTCATATATTATTTTAATAAGAAATAACCGCATGAAACTTGGCCGTGTCTTTTTGAACCCCCTGTATTCGGAGTACTTTCAAAATATTTTCTTTTAAACCTAAATACTATTAGTGTATAAATATCACATATTGAGTGGAATTAAGAATACTTAAAATGAGCTGTTGTGAGATTTAGTCATTGCGGGATTGTCGTAGGCATAGTCTAATGTACTGTCCTCAGCTGGCCTTCGATCAATTGACGTAGTGACTGTGACCGGAGAATGCTCACTGCCAAGTGTCGGTGAGGGTATTTCAAGTCTCAAGTCCTTTTTCTTGTTGTCTTGAGACGGTGTGGTGTTGATATTTTCACTGTTTCTCTGCAAATAATAAGAAAATATAATTTTCTAAGTATTTATATTTTTAGAATATATAAAACAGAAAAACAATGATAATTAAATATAAATAGCATGGATGTAATCTCTATTTTTATCGTCAGTGTGCAACTAGAATTAAATCACGACAATTTAATTAATTTATTATAAGATTGTACAAATTTTAAAGATTGCAAAAGGTGTGTATTATACTAGGAAAAACCAAAATCATAAACAAATAACAATAAATTAAAATTCCCCTTACTTCTTTTTCATACTATGATATTCTTAAGACTTAATTTGAACTGTCAAAATACTTTTTAATTAGATTTACCATGTTTTGTTTTGTATTTACACAATATTTGTCCTTTCTAATCAAAATTACTTTAGAGGATTTAACATGATAATGTTTTCTGGCATTTTTTTCTCTTTTTCTTTTGCTGTTAATGTTAATAACAAAATAAATAAAACGTTTTCCTTTATAAAACCTTTTATTAATTTCTTGTGGTGAACAATATAGACAAAGAAGAGGATATTTCTTTTATATACGCAATAAAGTTTAAGATTTACAAAAATATACTTACTTTTTTAAAGAATTTGTTTTTAATGCTATCCCATGTGATGTCCTTTTTGACTTTCCATCGGTAAAGTTGAAAAACTAACACTCCAAATAAGACTATGAGCATCAAGATGACTAGCGTCAATGTAACTGTCACCATTCGTGACAGTTCTTGAACGGTTACTAAAAATATAACATAGTTACTTCATAATCTCTGTTTTAAGTTATAACTAAATTTTAGAAGGATGAAATAGTATAGAAATCACTTTAAAAGTAAAAATTACAACTGTTATGAGCCTGGCAAAACACCTAGGAAGCAGATCCTGACATCACATCTGTTATTTTCAGAACTGTTATTTTCAGAACTGTTATTTCTTAAAACAACAGTTTTTGAGCTTTATAGAATTTTGTAGAGTGGCGATGATACACAGTTATTTTCATCGATACCTATTATTTTTTAAAGTAATAACACTAAAAACCTGTTATTTATAAATAACAGTTATAAAATAACAACCCATATCTACAGGTTTAATAAATATCACGGGTCATTATCTTCATAACTGTTTTGCAATTTTTTGGTGTTATCAATTATTGCAAATTGTTGTCAATGAATAACAGTTACAAAATAACAGATTTTTAATATCATCCCGTCTTTAACAAGCACTTAGTAAATGAAATTGTCTTGTTTCTCATAATAATAATTACATGGCATAAAAATACTTAAAAATTATTAACTCTGGTACTTGGAGACAAAGTAAATAAGTCAACAAAAATAAAATATTTACCTCTTAAGTCGCCATTGTCACCTCCTGTTTTACTAACATATCTCAGATCATGGAGGTAATCTAAAAGAAATAAATAAAAATAGGTAAATCACCTGAACTTTGTAGTTCTTATTGATAGTTGATTCTTGTGGTAGCAGTATATAGACCTAGCAAAGCAGGTAGCTATAACGTATACGGGATTTTTCAAGCAATTGGTTTATTACCAAGTTTGGAAAAATGATCTATATAGTTTAGATACATTTATTTAATTATCTAGCACTTCCGGTTTGATAGTTTTCTTATTTTAAGTGGTACAGCCTTTATATCTTTTGTTTTTTGAATTCTACATGAAATTCTAGACATATTTTGAATTTGCGTTTAATGTCATATAAGCATATATTATGTCTTAAATTTATTTTGCTTGTGTTATAAAAAATGTTTTACTTAAATTTTTACAATAATTCATCAAATGTTATACAGCACGCTCATTATAAAAATGCTACAAATATTACGTTAACAAAATTTATTTTTAAATTTTATTTTAAATTTAAAAAAAATGTAATAAAATACTATGGGTCTAATTAACGTTAATTTTTTCTTAACACATCCAGTATATGACTCAACCTTGGCTACTATCTTAATTACATACTTATCTAAACAAGTATTTCACATATGTTCAGATAACAGCACCTTATATTTTCTTGGTGCCCTAGTAAAACATTTTAGTAGCATTACAGTACGTTTAGTGCTATTCCTTGTAGATGACGGATGAATAAATAACCATAACACGAATAAGTATTAATTCGTCAAAATAATTATCATATTAAATTAAGTATTTGATGATACGATAAAATTTAGGACAAGAACATAACTTAAGTTAACAATAGGTTTTCAGTCGTTGTGAATCATTATTATAAATAATTTAAAACAAGATTATTCAAGGTTAATTATTTTTATATTTAGATATTTACGGTATTAAAATACGTTAATCTTTCAAAACAAGGTTTTAAATATTTTTTTCATGAATATAAATTACTACCCATTTTCCTCACAGAATCTGCATTCGCCATTGTTTCTTAGCTTCAATCCACTGAGGTGTTCATTGAGGAGCCAGTGATGTCCTGTTAAAAAACCCGTGTCAATGCAGAGATTGGTCTTACTTAAATCTAGGGAAATTTATTTTTCGTAGTAAAGTCGTAAGTCCTGAGGATCTTCTTCGAATGTCTTAAACCGTTGCAGGATTCCCATTCCAGGTTACGGATGGAGTCTTTCAGGTTTTTCAGTTCTGCTTTGAGTTGGTTTCTACTTGGGAAGCAGAACGGTTCTGGTCCAGTTAATGGGTTTCAGAGTGTTCGCTTCTTTTCTAGCTAGATCGTTTGCTTTCTCATAGGAGGGCTTTATTTTCTTTGCCTAATTTATTCGGCTTCTCTAGGCATTCTTTGACCAACTTCAATTCGATGGATACTGAGTTGATCCCTTTTAACGCTGCTTGACTATCAGATAAGATGGCTATTTCTTGTTTCCGATAGTTCTTTTTTTATGAGGTGAGAAAATGCCTTGCATAGACACCTTCAATACCAGTGATGCTGTATGATATTTATAGTGTCGGATTCTTACCGACTAAAAAAATCCTCCTCGTTTTGCCCTCTGTGAACCGGTAACCGCTCTCGCATTTCTTCAGTGCATTAGGCTGTCTAAAGAAGATGTTATTTTTCTTTGGTCTCCATTATTTCTCTGGCAGTCCTATATGCGCCTTTCCAAGATTCTATGCTTTTGACTAAGCTTTCCATCATATTAGAGATATTAAATGTAAGTCCTGTACGTATTTGGTATACTAGGGGTTGGCAAAGGTTAGTCTTGGGTCGAGATTTCTGTATGTAAGAAGAGTACAATGCGTTTATAATGTACTGAACAAAGAGAGTACGGTAAACACGTTGCCAAACGTATGAAATAAACCGAGAAACTGTGCACATTACTAAGAGACGTGGAAGGGGATATAGCAGATTTGTCGCAGTCGACCGGTCAACCCAATCAGTACCTCTATCAGTACATGGTCAGTACTTAAAGTTCTAGGGAGAGGTGTACATCATACGTTTAGCTTCACGATTTAATTACGTCTCGTGATACTTTATTTGTTTATTTATTAACGACGCGTAATTTTCCCTATAGCTTGAACATTTTTAAGTGCAAGTTAGAAATACTTACATTTTTGGTAAAAATAAGTGGAATTAAGTTGGTGTTCGACAATGGTCGCGCTATCCCAACTAGCATTTATAGTGGCAGATACATAACTGCTACTATCAAATATCAAAACCACTACAAAGTGGGCGGTGACCATCGGCGGCTACGTCGTATATTCGTAGCTGCTAGGTAACTGCGACCAAAATGGGGAAAGATTTTGAGTACCCAAGACACTACTTGGGTAGTTTTTGCCACTAAAAGAGTTACTATGATGTGTTACTATAAAGTAGCCTACTGGTGAATGCGACTTATCCGTTACGAAGCTGCAGTCGCGAGTTCATGGCAGCCAAGTGTTATCCACCGACATGTGGAACTTTCGTTAAACTGTTGAACTTTATTCGCAGCGATCTCTTCATGCAATTTCACATTTCATAAAAATAAATGTCATGATGGAAAATAATTATGGAAGCCATTATTATTTTTTCGTTATTTGTTATTTACCGTGCGATTTTAATGCCTTTTTTAGGTAAATTCCAGAACGCAATAAACTTTACTGAATAAAATAGTGGGTTTATATAACAAAATTTTCGAGCACCCCTCGAAATATTTCAAATTATTATATTATTTGCAATAGAAACTCATGTAGGTAATTAAAAAAAATAATAATTTGCTTGAAACCGGGGTCAAACTTTAAAATATTAGCCCACCGTCAGAAATAACAAAATAACTAAGGAAAAAAGCTTTAATCTTGGTATATTTAGCTTAGAAACGCATAATGTTTGAGCCATTTGGCTGTTCATCTAAAAATTCATGAAAAAAATATGGCCGTTTAATCCGAAAAATACTTTATAGTTCCATATGCTTCCACAAAGTACCGGGAACAATAACATATTAGGCCAACCCTACCCGTTTGGACCTTTAAAATCTTCGGATTGATGAAGTGACAATTGTAGCTATCCAAAGGCGATTTTATAGAAACAATAACTTTTTTGGAACTACATGGTCAACGATTCTTTGGAACCATAAAGTGATTTTTTCCAAGAATGTTCCCTGCGCCACCAAATTGCCACTTAATTGGAGCGTTATGCTACACCAATCGCGGCGGTGGCGACTATACATTCCATTGGTGCCACTATAACGTTCCGCCTTGTCCTTTGAAGTTATTTTTTACTTATTGTGCATTTTTTATTATTAGTGTTTCTATATTATTCAGAGCTACATGAGGTATAGAGTATTTTAACGCCCACTCTTTTAGCTCTTGTTTTATATTGTTGTTGGTTTTCAAATTAGTTCTCCTCTGAGAATCAGTTTCAGATACAGCTTCGAAAATTTCTCAGTCACTACCTGATTTATGATGTTCATCAGTAGGATTATAGAAAGATGTAGTTTTTGTTTCTGATGTTGATGCATCGGCTCGCAGTGATTCCTTTTGTTTAATTCTTCGGTAGAAAGTACTAGAATATCTAAATTTCTTTTTATTTACCTTAGGGATTTTACAAAATTTTAATAAAGCTTAAAAGCAAGTAAAAGAAAACACCAAAACAGAGCAGCACACGATGCAATCTGAGGCAATTATGAGCGACATTAGTGGCAATGGATGAGCGACAGCTACTTTATAGTGACCTAGGAGGGTAGCAGTAACCATTTTGCTACTTTCAATGCTACTATAAATTCGAAGTAAATAGGTGTCTTTAAACTAACTTAAATTGTTACTATAAAGTAACAAAAATTTAATGGATGCATTATGGTAGCACTTGTTAGTAACCCCTACTTTGAAAAATTACTATAAAGTTTTTGGTCTTTTATGGTGTCATATTCGAAGATTCGGGTAGTTCCAGCCACTTCTTTAAATTACATGTTTTCGACTTGCAATCGGGGTGTTTATTTTCAACTTTTATGGTAGGTAGGCACTAACCGGTCACTCTCGAAATATACTTCAAAGTGACTATTCCTTATAGAGTAACATTTTAAGTGGCAGAGTGGACCTAGCAACTATACTTTCGGGGCAGTGACCTTTTAAAAAGGACTGGGAACTATATTTGCTAGTTGGGATTAGAACTCTGAATTCAAAAATTGATATCTCAAAATCTATTAGAAATAATTGATTGTAGTTTTTTCAAAACCTTTCTAAATATTTCTGCTATATTTGCTTCGCAGACAGTATGTGAAAATCTTTATAAATAAAAAAGTTACACGATTGCTGAAAATTGCTATGCACTAAAAGTAAATGGATGGGTTGTTTAAAAGTTTTGAATGAAAAAAGACAACCTTATCGATTTTTTCGTATTTAAACATATTGTAAAAGATCCGATCTTCACAATTAAAAAAAAGTTTCTAAAGTGGATCTTAAGTTATGGTGTGTTATAAGTTGAGTTTTTAAGTTATCGCGATTACTGACGTTTTCTCTTTATAAAAAAATGGACACCCGAACGATATCCTTATAATTCCATTTCAGATGTTCAGAAATATATCTAATGATTTTATCTAGTTGTCTTTTTGAAAAAAAAGTTTTAAAAATAAGCGGTTTGCGATAGTGATTATATTTTACTTGATAAGGAAAGGCGTACCGACAACGTACAACGGACAACACCACACTGTCGCATCTCTCACTCCGACTTAATAAGATCCCTGTGCGATTTACTTCTACTCATGTAAATACGGACCCAAAAATAACAGTTGCCACCACGGTAGAACAGTAGCACCATGCACAGGATAGGTTCAACATCGTCCACTGTGCCACTGTGTAAAAACTTTATTTTAAAAAGCATACCATCAAAAAACGATTCATCTGAAACTCCTAACAGTCCCTTTTTTAACTTTTTTTCTTGTAAAACCCTTTAATTACTGTAAAACGGAAATTAGAAACATTCTAAATTGTATGAGGCTATCCAGCGTCCGCTCTGAATGGCATAGTTTATAACAAAAATGCTCGTTACTGAAGTTGTGGAAGTTCATATAATAAGCAATTTACTCAAATGAAAAACTTGGTAAATGCTTGTTTCTAGCTTGTAATTAGCATAACTACGTTCCAAAACCTTCATTATTAACTCAATTAATATGTTCAAAAAGAACTTGGCGGTTGAAAGTTGAAAGAATTTTTCAGAAATGTTTTAGGGTATATTTTTTATTTGGTACATTTTATTAAAAAAAACAAAGTTTCAGTATTCGTTTCATATATTTTACAATACTGTGAGTTCTTATGAGCACTTTTAGTGATAATTTTAGATTATTTGATTAGGTACAATTAGAATGAACCCCAGGTATACGGAAGATTCTACGGTTAGGACATCAAAATAAAATATACAAATTGTCTGGGTAAATAAAATTATCATTTAACAAACAAATTTGTAAAAGTCAGGTGTTTTACGAGTGAATGCGAAAATATTTAAGTAAAGCCCTGTCTAGACATAACGTTTTACCTTACGTTTGTTGTATCAGTCTTGCCTGTTCAGTCAAAATGTTTCAAGTATGTTAGATTATAGATTGTATGAGAGGGGGAAGTTAATAATAGCGACCTTATAGACCTATTGTTTACCTCTTTCTTGAGTTATCTCATTATATAGTTTTAAGGCTTTGATAAAAGCCAGTATCTGAAACGGTTTTACAGAGGTTAGTTGTTAGTTCTCCATCTCTGATATCAGTCGTTCCAAAGTTTATGGAACGAATGGTTGTTGTCTCAGCGCATTCCGTGTTGAGGTGTTCTGGTGTTTCCCCATTTTCCCTACAGAATCTGCATTCGCCGTTGTTTCTTAGCTTCAATCTACTGGGGTGTTCATCGAGGACATTGTGTCCTGTTAAAAACCCCGTGACAATCCGAAGATTGTTCGTAGTTAACGTATCAAGTTAAACCTTGTATGTCGACGGAAAAAAGCAGTACGTTTTACTCGAAACTTGAAACGAATCAAGAAAGTCTAGGTAACTGACGAGACCATTCAGTAGGTATTACAAAAAAACTGTCGTTTTGTCTACTTTGTGGGTAATTAGTAAATTTACACAATCCAAATAAAACAATTAATCTGGTAAGGGCATGTAAACAGAATGGGAGAAGAAGGCTACCAAAGAACATCATGAAATGGATCCCAACTGGAAAACGAAAACGAGGAAGACCCCGAGAGACATTGTTAAAAGGCAAAGGCAATGTCATTACGCAATTTACAAGCCGATGACTGGATGGACAGAAGGTAATGGCGGCAAGAAACCGGAAGGCGGATCGAGCTGTAGAACCGGACTTATATATAGTACATTTACACGCTAGTTTTTAAACACGTTATGTGTTGTCGCCCATCTTTAGAACTACCGTCAATTTTCTAGACAGTCTTCAGTTTTACCTGACACGCAAAACTGACAGGTAAAACCTTATGGTGTAGACGGGGCTTTAGGCAAATTTGTTTTATGACAAGCTAATTTCCTTATAAATTGAACATTGTGGTATTTTTCAAAAAAAGATTTTCTTTATTAATGTTTCAGTGACGAAATACAGTCCAAGCATTTTTGGAGAAATTAACCCGCCACAAAAGTGTAAACATATATATGGGCGGCTACATACACGCAATGGATTTTTGGAAAATTTGTTCCGCCACAGTCTATACCTTTCATTAATATCGGTTAATCAGTCAGTATCCTGTATCCATCAATAAGTGATGTTAGTGAACTGCCACGAAGAAATATCGGATATGTGGCAGTCCGGATTGGTAGTGAGTTCTAAAAGATTTTGCCATTAACGACTGCGATGTTAATACCTTTGAGAATCGCATATATGAAAGATCAGATATGCACGTTTGTGAATACCAAAATACCTGTATTCTGAACGAATCGGCGGATATGGTTAAAAAACCCTTGAGTGTACGGGTTCTATTGTCTCTATCCCAACCCAAATTATACATTCTAAACCATTTTATTTTGGCTGGACACAGATAAAAATCCTGGATGAATATTGAGTACCCAGTTTCAATATGCGTAAAGCCCCGCCTACACAAAACGTTTTAGGTGTCAGGTAAGACGTATTATAAACTAGGGTATGCACTGGAAATTTTGCCCGCGGTTTTATCAATGATATAGCACTGTGTTTAGTAAAGTTGAAAAGAAAAAAAACTCTGAACCTGGAATACTCTATCCGTAACCTGGAATGGGAAGTCTTCAAAAGATAGGCGAAGAAATTTCTCAGAACTTTTACGACCGAAAAAAATTAAAGATGTTGAATTAAGTAAGAACAATCTTCGGATTATCACGGAGTTTTTAACAGGACACTGTCTCCTCAATGTACACCTCAGTAGATTGAAGCTAAGATGCAACAGCGAATGCAGAATCTGTGGGGAAAATGGAGAAACATCAGAACACCTTATCACTGAGTGCGCCAAGACGACAACTATTCGTGCCATAAAGCGAATACAGATATCGAAGATGAAGAAGTAAGCTCTGTGAAACCGTCTGGTTTTTGTCAAAGGCTGTATGATGAGTTATAACTCAAAAAAGGGGAACACACAATAAATCAGTAAGGTCGCGGTGATTAACCCCTCCCCCGTACATTCTATAATCTACTTGTTACATTTCGACCGAGAGAATAAAACGTTACGTATGGACGGTGCTTAAGAAATATGAAAACTATAAAAAAACATAAGAACGCGTCAAATAGTTACTAAATATCAGTGATTTGATTATTCTGAACATTTTTCTCAATTTTTTCATGTAGGTAGGGATCACTTTTAATATTTAACTAAACTTTTTGCTTTAACCACCACAAGAATAAAGAAAATAGAATTTAATTCAATTTTAAAATAATAATTTACAAAAGCTCTTTAATTAAACATTAATAAAAGAAAAAAAATGCCTTTTGATGACTCTATTTACCTTGGCACTGACTTTCACACAACTGCTTCTCGTAATTATGTCCTTTCGCGTCACAAACCGAAGAACATTGCTGACAGGTACTATCAAAATTCGAACAGTACTCCGATAATTTACATACTTTCTGTCCGCACTTGGTTCCTTCTATGGTAATTCCTCCATACGTGACCGCACCAAACACCAAACTCACACAACAGAACACTGTGAACACCGAAAAACTATTTCTCTCCATGGTACCAAAATCACATCATATTTTTATTGTTTTTAAAAAAACAGGTGTGGAACAATAAGTATCTAAATGGTTCTGCGACTGTTGTTAACGTAATGTCGCGTTTTACCTGAGTGAATCACATTCCGCAGAATGAAAGGCCGTACGATACGAGTGCATAAGGTCGAGATTCGAATGGGGAATCGCACAGGTATACAGGTAGTACCGCTTAGTGGTACGGTTCTGGTAGTAGGGGTCTTGAATAACCTGTCTATTGCGGTAGATACGTGTGTGTTTTGGGTAAATACGCTCAGACGAACGAGCAAAAGCTTCTTTATTGCTTTTTAATTAACGTTTGTACGCAAAAATATTGCAGGTTCATTATTTAGACCGACTGTCTTATTTTGGCTTAAATAAGTGCAATTTTTTTTGTCTTGAGGTTTTTTCGCGAATTCTTTTTTTTAGAAAAATTGATAATTTTCGATTTTTTTTTTAATTTTTAGTTAAGAAACATTATCTTGATAATATGGAAACATGTATGTAGTAGATTAAATTTTACAAGAAAAAAAAACAGAAAAAATGAAGTGGTTCTCAAAATTTAAGCAAAAAATATATAACTTTTTTTTAATTTTCAAAATAAAACAACTTGGTTAATTTGAACTTATTGGAAAAATAACAAAGAGAAAATATTAAGTCAGATCTGCCAGCCCTGAAAATATTTGCACTTATTTAAGACCCACCAAGTATTTTTTATGATCGAAAAAAATTGCGTTCAATTGGCTTAGAAACGACGATCATTGGTATTTTCCATATAATTTTACAAATAAAACGACAACGATCTTCATTTCATAGCAATCGCTGACGCGGTTTTTTTTTCGATCATATTGTACCGGGTGGCTTATCGTATAACTTTGGAAAAAATAATCTAATAAGTAAATCGACCAAGAGAAATCGCTGTAAATTATTGTCATGTTCGAAAAATGACAATTTTCATCCAAATATATCAAGGGTAACTAGTTCAGAAGTTATATGGAAAAAATCAAAACTCACTCTATATACAGATAATGACATTATGATATCTTCGATAGAAGTTTTACTGAAAATTCAAAAATCCCTACAGTTTTTTTCTTACATTCCATTAAAAAAAAGTACAACTTTAGTTACTACAGTTTAATCATCTGCTGATGATGCTAACATGGTTAGCGAAACAGTGTAAAAGCCTTGTAAAAATAAAAGTGTTTTGATATATTGTGGTGATTTAGTGTTTTATTTTGCTACAACTGTAGTGTTAAATATATATGAATCACCCTGTATATTTATATTTTACAATTATTATATTGACATATTAAACATTTAAAATCAAAAGCACTTCATTTCTAACTTTTGTAAGGCAACTTGACGCCACTTTTTTCGATCACACAATTTATAATCTTTCTTATATTTTTTTTTATTTATTTTGTTCCCTAAAATGTTTAGAAACTAAATACAGATAATCTACAAAAATATTACTTTAGAAAATATACCGAAAAATTAGTAAATCTTAAAAATAAAATAAACAAAAATATTGATATATATATTTTTTTTGAAATCTAAATCCTTTCTTGACAATTCATCAGTTATTATCCTTGTATTATATTATATATAGACAAGGGTATTATCCTTGATTCATAATCAAGGGTATTATCCTTCAGATGGTAGGTAGTTATTATTGATTTACTGTCCACAATACTTACCTATTTGTTTGCTACGAACAACTGGTTAACTAAAATTAAAACAAATAACTCATTAACTGTATATTATGTATATTTCATTTAAACTATATCATTTTTAAAATACAAACCAAAAATCTGAGGAATAATTATGTTTTCCATGTATTCTACAATATATTTATTAATCCGTTATATCTAACTAGCGTGACGTCATAAATCTCGCCCGTAGGCTGATCTTTTAATAGAAGGCACTGATCTGTGATTGAAAAGTGATTGAAAACCTGTCAAACGGCTGTTGCTGTCTGTTACTCATAAAATTTCTTGGAATTTTTCAAAAAGTTAACAGAATTTGGAATTTAACAAAAATACAGTATGGTGGACTACAGTAAATGGAAAAATATTGAGGTATATTCATCATTCATTCTTTTATTTAACCAAGTTAATAATAGAGAAAATTTTAATGTTTTTTGATTTTATAATCTACAGTTCAAACTTCTTGAATTCGTAGAAAATGCATTAAAATAAAAAATGCTTTGCAGGTATCTGATGATGAGGATGAGACACATCCAAACATCGATACGCCTTCGCTGTTCCGTTGGCGACATCAGGCTCGCGTCGAACGAATGGAAGAAAGGAAAATAGAAAAAGAAAAACTCGACAGAAAGAAATCAGACACTCAAAAAAAGATCGACGAAGTTGCAACCAAGATCAAGCAAGCCAAGGAATCAAACAAACCTCTAGAAGACCTCGAGAAACAACTCAAAAACTTGGAAGTTGAATCTACAAACATCAAAAAAGAAATCGATGAGCTTGAAAAGAAGGAAAAGGTATAAAAAGTTTTGCATACCCTTTGAAATTATATAAATAATATTTGTTTTTTAAAGCTAGCACCATGGAATGTGGATACAATTAGTAAACCTGGATTCGCAAAGACTGTTATTAATAAGAAACCTCAGCATCCTCCAGAAGAGAATTTGAGTGAAGAAGAACGGGAAAAAAGGTTGAAAGAATTCATAACAGAGAATAAGAAGGATTTGAAACATTTTGGAATGCTCAGGAAGTATGATGATTCCAGGCATTTTTTAAAATCCCATAATCATTTAGTGTGTGAAAACACAGCAAATTATTTGGTAATATGGTGCATTAATTTAGAAATTGAAGAAGTAAGTGACATACTATTTGTTCTAGATCATATTTAAATTTTTTTATATCTACATTATTACTTTGTTTCTGATTATTACACAAACATTTCTACTGACTTCTAATATTCTAATTAAATGATGTTATCAATTTTTCTGAATCAAAGCTGAAAAATGTAAAGTTATCATTATAGTCTCTACTTTTTGTGAGATTTTAATCACAGTCCGTAAACTGATATTAAGCGGAGATAAAACACACCCTGAAAGATCTATGTATTTTCAATAAAAGCCCCAAAATTTAAGCAAGAATATAAATTTTTACCCCTCTAATGCAGTTTAATGGCAAAAGAGGCTCATCATGATCTCTTTCCTGTTCAAAATAATTGAGTAGAGAAGAGACAAGTTGCTAATTCCAACTATTTAGTGGTTTTATTGTAATGAAAATCATGGTTTTAATTAAACAAAATGCAGATTTGATCAAAAATAAAATTTATCAAAGAAAACTCACAATGAAATTGAAAATAACATAAAAGATCAGATTTGTAAATGTAAATCTCATGACAACTGGCAACATTTGCCATAGCTACCAACATAAAGCTTTTTTTATTGGCCAATTCGTTTACTTGATGCAACAGCGTACTGTTTTTTTTAACCAAGATATAAGATTATAAGAAAAAGGAAAAACTGTGCTCCAAGTTTCAAAGGAATTTTAATTTATTATAAATTTAACTGGGTAATAGTTTCAACTTCTTTGATGACGATGCCATCAACTTTTATGGTTTCTCTATACATATTTTTTTTTATAGAAACATGAACTAATGTCACATGTCGCTCATCAAACTATTTGTATGCAATACATATTGGAATTAGCCAAACAACTGGATTGTGATCCTAGGGCATGTGTTGATGCTTTCTTCAGTAAAATTCAAGTCGCTGAATATGAATATAAAAAGTCATTCGAGGATGAGCTGACTCAGTTCAAAGAGAGGATTCGTAAAAGGGCAGCTGAAAAAGTTGAAGCTGCAATGAAGGTAATTTTTTTGAAATAATATTTTTCAAGATAATGCTGTAAAATATGTTACAGGAATATGAAGAAGAAGAAAGACAAAAACGGCTTGGTCCTGGCGGTTTAGATCCAGAAGAAGTGTACAATTCCCTTCCTGAAAGTCTAAGAGAGTGTTTTGATACAAGGAATGTGGAGTTGCTTCAAGAGACTATAAGCAAAATGGACGAGGAAGATGCTAAATATCATATGAAAAGATGTGTGGATTCAGGACTTTGGGTACCAGAAGCGAACAAAAAAGAATCAGGCGATGCCTCAGATGATACAGAATCAAAAGAGGAAAAATAGTTTGCGAATATATCATAACCTGTATTTTTTTAATTTATGTAATGCTTGGCTAGTAAAACGAGATTTCAAGTGTTCTATATTATATTCTATACTTTTTAAATAAAACTTAATAGATACTATTAGTCATTAGTTTTAATTTTTTGTTTCTTAAAGAGCAAGAAACAAAACCTTGATATTTTTTGAAAGCCCCTGTATATAACTTTTCCCTTTGATTCAATATTTTTTCACTTACTGCGAATTTTTGGCTCACCCTGGTGGCGCCTCTTAGGCGTCGCGGAAACTCCAAGAAGAACGACACTGTTTAGATATAGTAACAAAACCTCAAAACAATTGATATTGATATTTTTTTAAAGTCCCTGTATATTTATTAAATATCTTTTCTCTTTGATTCAATCACATTTTTCCATTTTTGGTGATTTTTTCTGGCACACCTTGTACATACATATACAGGGTGGCGCCCCTCTGACGCCACAGAAGCCCCAAGGATAACGACGCGACAGTTTGTACTGAAATAAAATTTGGGAGCATATATAGGTTAATTGAGAGCATTTTTTTAAATACATAGAGATCTACAGGGTGTCTAAAAAAAGTTACATATCAAAGTTATGTTTTTTGTAATGAAACAACCTATATACAGGGTGTCCCAGAAATAAGTGCAAGTATTTTAACGGGTGGTAGATCTCGATAACAGAAACATATTTTCTCTTTATCGTTTTTCAAATAAGTCCAAAATAACGGACTTATTTTACTTTGAAAATTTCCAAAAAAAAGATTTTTTGCTAAAATTTTGAGAACCACTGGATCTTTTCTGGATTTTCTTTCTTGTAAATTTAATCTAATACCTATGTTGCCATATTATCAACAAATTATGTTTTTTAACTAAAAATTAAAAAAAGTCCACAATTTTTTTCAAAAAATTTCGAATTTTCAAATTTTTTTTCGCGAAAAAAACCTCCTATTTAGGCGTGTTTCTGGGGTTAAACTATACTACCAGTTAAAATACTTGCACTTATTTCTGGGACATCCTGTATTATTAATTGATTTTCGGATTCTAGCGAAAAAATTAAGGTGACTTTCATTAGAGAAACATATGAATAAAAAAATGCTTTTGATATTTTTTAAAAATGAAGAAAAAAAATTTAATTTCAGTAAAAACTACTTAAATTGTAATTTACCCTGTATAGCCCGATATTTAATTAACGATATTTAATTAACGATATTTAATTAAAATAACCATTGTGCCTTCATCCAAACTAAAATTGGACCCGAAAAGTTACACACAGGGTGAGACAAAAATAGTATTGAACAAGCAAGTTACGTTTTTATTTGAATTGAACACCCAGTATATTTCGATATTCAAAGGAGAATTCATGTGTTTTCAAATTAAGACAAAATTCAATATTAATTTTGTCTCACCCTGTATAACTTTTCGGGTCAAATTTTAATTTGGTTTAATGTACAATCCTTGTTTATACAATACGTATACGAGGGTACAATCATTTAGATATCATTGTGTACAATATTTATTTTAACTAAATATCAGACTATATACAGGGTAAATTACAATTTAGGTAGATTATAACCCTCAACTGGCGTGGTGGGGTCCAGCGGACCCCAAGCACTATTTAAACCTCTGTAAAATGTTTACGTTTAAGAATTAGGCCTCGCCGCACCATTTACCAATTAGGGAATGCAATCCCGCAAATGCTGGATCCCTCTGAGATTCCGCGGGATCAAAGTTGCGGGATTTACCGTGCGGGATCCGCGGGATCAATACATTACTACTGCATAACCGAATCGATCTCGATTAAGATCAAACCGCTTCGCTCCGGGCCGGTGCGTCGACGCTCGGAACCCGAGGGATTCCCCTTACGGCTTGGCCATTAAAAATAAGTGAAACAAACAGGCTAGTTGTTAGATTTCTTTCTGGCGTATGTGCGTAAGTAAAGAAAAGCGTTTAACTAGTACTTGTGGACAATTTCGTCAAATAAATTACCGGACATAATTATTGGGACAAGCAAAATTTGAGGGTAAATTTAAAGTTGAATATCTCTTGAACTAAAAAAGATTTTGGGATGCGGTTTGGACCAGATTTTAGATGAATCTATTGTGATTAAGATGCTGATGTGGTTTTCGAAAATATATTTAGCGAATTCTCGTATACTGGATGTTTTATAAGAGTGTGAAAATTTAATCAAGAATCTTTTTTACTGCAAATTTACAATTTTTAAAAAAATCGAAATTTTTACCAAGTACGACGAATCTGTATTGAAATTAGAATAAAACAATTTGATCGGTTTTTTATTGTTTTTTTGTTTTAAGGAAAATACGACGTTTTTTCGAAAAATATGCATTTTTAGTCATACGTCTGGCCCTAAATGGTACAAAAAGTTTTGTACATTCTGCATAATGCCAAAAAATTATTGATATAGAGTGCATCTAAAAGCAGATAACTAACACAAGTTAAAAAAAAACTTCAATCAGAATAATATTTTTATTTATAAAATAAGTAGATAAATTATAATAAACTTTAAGTTTATTTAATATTAAATATATTTTTGAACACCCTGTATACATCGGTGCCCAAATTTCTGTACAGCTAGTTTAAGATACACGCTATATCAATATATTGTGGGGCCTATGCAAAATGTACAATGCCTTTTGTACCATTTAGGACCCAATGTATGACTATTGTTTACAGTCCCACAATTTTACGGATCCGCGGGATTGATTGCTTTAATCCCGCGGGTTTGGGGGATTGATATTTTGGTGCGGGATTGCATTCCCTAGGACCAATATGCAACTGTTAAAGGCGCATTTGATTTTATCAATTATTGTTCCTACCAGCGGGGGCTAAAGTTTCATTGGGGTCTGTGTGGCACCACCACGCCAAGAATGTTATATTATTAGGATGGTGGGTAGACTAAAAAGTGGGCCTCACTGGGACGCTAATTTTGAGGAAGCAATAATTGAGTGGTTTGATGAACTTAAAGAGACTTAAGTGAGATGAAGACCATCGAGACATTGATTTTTCTCCGAAGAGTAACCCTAACTACGATTCTGAATCTCTTGCTTATAGAAGAGAGAAAATTGAATAATCAATACCAGAAAAGAAAGAGATGTGGTATACGGCAACCATATGTCAATGAAGAAATGACAAAAAAACAAAAACCTCATGAATCAAATGTGCACGATCCATATGCGGCAAATGCAGATCCTCTATTAGCATGAACTGTATTTGAAAAAGTTATATACATTCAAGGTTTGCAGTTTTGTTGAAAATAATTTGTGTTTATTACTTTAGCTTCACATTTCAGTTGTTCGTACTTTTAATAATACGGTAAAATCATATTTTTTTTTTTAATTTCTATGGGTTTCTTAGCAAGTTATATTTCTGTTGTCAAAAATTCCTAAAAAATGTGTTTTACTTTATTTTTGTGTCCGTTATCATTAATTGTTGAAAATTAATGAAATTGTTTGTTCACAAGTTTGAATATATTGTAAACAGTGTAAAAATAACAAGCTTTTTATAAAATCTCTTCATCATGTATTTTAAACTGAAAAAAAATTGGGGTCCGTCGGACCCCACCACGCCATAAGCGTTACGAAAATTCACCACGCCAGTTGAGGGTTAATTAAATTCAAGTTTATTCTTCATCTTTAGATAGTGTTAAATATGTCAAAAACCTTACATTCCAGTCATACGCTTCTTTAATAACTTACCTTTATTTTTCTCCTAGAATCCGAAAATAAACTAATACACCGATCTGGTCGTCGAAACTGCGTGGTCTGGATTTTAACGCGTAAGACAGTGATGTAGACAGCTTAAATGAAAAAACAAATGTATTAAAAAGAGATAAAAGTTAGGTTGGTACATTTCTTCTATGCGGTATTGCCGGATTTTGCATCAAAATTTCAAACTGCACAAATAGGTGTTCACGAAAAATATTGCATCTAGGGTTGGAACTTTATTTGTCACAGTTAGTTACTTATTTTATCACAGCTGGTAATAGATTCTTAAACAACTGCCTAACAGAAATGGGCATTGTTGAATAGCTTAGATATATTATCTTCTTTTATTATTTTATTTTTCATAAGAACCGGCAATGCTGTATGCCGCTTTTTATTTTGTCTCTGTGTCTGACTTCTGGTCGTCGTTTATATCTGTCGTATATATAAAGTACAGACCACAGAAAAAAAAGTGACCAGAACTAGTATATGGTGTTGCATTTAGTGTCCTCCATTCACGCAGTTGTGCAGCTCTGAACTGTTCAAGAACGCGATACTCTCACTCCATTCAATTGAGTCATAAAGTTCCAGAACTGTTCCGCGCCATATGGAGATACCAGGCTATCGCGCACAGCTCCTTTCAGAACCGTTCTCGAGTAGCCCAGGGGCGTAAAGCTCGGAACTTGAAGTTCGCGAATGGAGGACAGCAATTATCGCAAACTGTAGAACGCTTCTGCGCCATGAGAGGCGCCACTCTGTATATAAACCTTGATTTATAAAGAAAAATAAAAGGCAATGTATTTAGAATAAATTTTCATATTAGCTTCGAATACACTAAGAACATTAAAAAAATTATCTACACTAAAATAGGTATATACATTAATAATTTACAAATACAAAAATATTTACACTCGTTGAGCTACGGTTTCCAACCATATAAAAAGAATTATATATAACTATATGTCACAAATAGATTTATATCTACAGGGTGGCCCATTAGTGTGAGGTCCAATATCCTCATTTTTGACAAAGATATGAAAAAAAGTTTTATATAAATGTTGCATGATTTATAAAAATGTTAAAAACATTTTCTTGTATACAAGGTATCCCAAAATAAAGTAATGATAAAGTTGTAAAAGATTTTTTTTTAAATTGCAACCCCCATTTTTTCTGTACAGATTTGGGTTCAGCATAAAATTCAGCATATAGTACACTATTTTTATTTGAACCACTAAACGGTGTTGCCATGCTATTTTTATTTATTAAAACTTTGGTGAAAAACAGTATAATGAAGGAAAAGTGACAATACCATGACAATCTTATAAAGGGTATTTTTATGACATTTTAAATGCAACATCCTGCATATTATTTTTCTTTAAGATTAAAATTAGCAGCATTAAAATACGAACATTCTTTGTATTATATTATTTATCTATTATATTACATTACAAAATGATAAGGTGGATGTGTTAAAAAAATATATTTATTTTAATTTAATAGTTTTTCTACTATTCGGAGCGGAGACGAGAAAATAATGCTTCAAATGAAAACAAAATTATACGAAATATGCAAAATTTTATGCTGAATATAATTCTGTACACAAAAATGGGGGTTGCAACTTAAAAAATCTTACAACTTTATCATTACTTTTTTTGAGACACCCTGTATACAGCATAATATTTTTAGGGTATGTCCCTTTATATACCATGCAACATTTATAAAAAAAACTTTTCATATCTTTGTTATCAACAACGATATTGAACTTACTGGCACTAATGGGCCACCCTGTATATTACCAAATAATAATACGTATCATTCAATAAAAATAATAAATAAACACCACCTCTCAATTGACATGGATTTTTCCAATTAAAGTTCTAACTTATTGTATTAGTTCTTCTGTGTGAAATATCTCACATTCTTCTAGTAATTCATCAGTCTGTTTCGTATTTGATTCTTCAATACTGTAGGAATCAACCCCCAACTCTGTTGCTGTAATCAAAAAAAAAATAAAATGGATTAATTTAATATGAACCTATTATACTAAAGGTCCCCATACACTTCGGTTATTTTACACGGTTTTAACCGAAAGTGTGTGTGAGTATTTAATCCAGTTTTAGGTTAGGTTAGATTGCTGAGGTTGGGATCCTGTTTGATCCCCCACTCGGAGGCCTTGGGCCCATTGTGATACCCCTGTACTATTATATACCAAACCTTCCTCTCATTCTTTCTTTGCGTTAAAGAACTTCCAGCTCTTTCCAATGTCGCTGATGTTGGCTCTAGTACCTCCAAAACAACCATGCCGTAACATTTTAAAGCGCCGCGCCGGTTTTCCAGTGCCTGGTTCTTCCTCTCTGCATTCTCTGCAGTAGACGTCGTTGGAAATCTTCTATCTCACGAGATTTACCCCCCAGTGGGGCAGTTTCCAGTAACGACACCTGCAATTATGCGTACTACGTTCTTTTTGTGCTCTAGCAGTTGTTAGGTTACATTAGGTTGTAGCATTTTTTGTGTTTTTTCTATCTACCACGGGTCACAGTCTTAGAGCTGTAGCGCAGTCCTCACGATGTTGCCACGTCTCTTGCTGCTTGGCCTTGATAGTAATTTCTATAGCTTCCTTCAGTGGTTGATCGTCACAAATGATGGCTCATCTACCACAGCCTCTCTCCTGGCCCCTCTTCGGCGACTCTGTCAGCTTCTTGATTACCCACTACATTGCTATAGCCTGGCACCCAGCACAGAGTTGCCACGCCTTGACGCAGCCAGGACAGTGCTTCTCGGCAGTCCATTACAGTTTTCAATCTCACTGATTGCATAGTGATGATTCTTAAAGCGCTCAAACTGTCAGAGTATATCACAATATCTCCTATGGGTCTATCAGCGATTGTCCTCCGTATGCAACTGATTTTAACTGTACAGTTAAAACCCAGCAAAATAACGTAAGTGTATGCGGACCTTTAGAGATTAATTGAAAAAAAAATAGTAATGTCAGATGAAGATATAAATATTATGTAAATATTAGCTGACTCACGTAGATTTATATGTATGGTCTTTTTGTCTTTTTCAACAACTTTTTTGTCTGGCTTAAAAGTCACTATCAAATTTTAATTACAAATTAAGTTAAATTTTTTATGTGTTTTATAAACTTCATGTAAGAAAATATCTCCACGATAACACATTCTTTTAAAGTGTTCAGTGAAAACTCATTTATATTATTAATACATAGTCGCTTAATTGTTGCTAACAGGGTTGCCAACTATCGAAGTTGAATACCCGCCAGAGTCGTTTATTAAAAACTGCTAGAATCCGCTAGGCGACATTGAAATTGAAATTTTGCCGTATCGCTTAGTTTTGAACCATTTGGTATGGCTCTTAACCAAGATTCTAGGCCTAGGCACTTTAAGAATCTATATTAGTATTAGCCTCTAAATTAAAAAAAAACGGCTAGATCTGGCGGGAAAACCGCTAATAACACAACTTTAGGACATGCTCTTTATCTGGATTTTATTTTATTCGTCTCTTTTAATGCTATTCAAGCGATAAAAAGTGAATTTAAATTTTTAATGGTGTTGTGTATGACATTTTGCATGTTTATATCATACAAAGCTATCAACAAATACTATTATTTATGTAAAAAACATACGCCACAATGCACTAAGCCGTCTACTATCCTGACGTCACAAACCGTAGTCCTCAGCCTCTATGCAAAAGTCACGCCTTACCAGTTTTAATATTAGGCAGCATTAGGCGGCTCTCAAAATGTTTTTTTTATTCTTTTTTTAACTAAATAAAACCATCATTATACACATTTAAATACAGGGTTGCGCCTCTCACACGACGGGGAAGCTCTCATGGTGGGTTCATACAGCCAAATAAAATAAAATAAGAATAAAATAAAATAAAATAAGAAAGTTGGTTATATGGGATACCGTACATGCGTTCATACAGCCAAATAAAATAAGAAGTCTTTATCTTTTAACTTCTTGTTTTATTTTATGTGAAAACGGCTTTGCGCACGCTTAATTCTAACCTACAAATATTTTCAGTTTGGATTTAATTTATTTTATAATTTCACATAAGTAAAATGTATAATATAGTAGGCAACGAATAAATAAATATACTATAAATAGTAAAATTACTATAAACAATCGTAAAAGTTAACTTTTATCCAGCCTCATCGTACTGCGCATGAGCAAATATATATTTCTTATTTTATTTTATTTGACTGTATGAACGCACACAAATAAGAATTCCTTATTTCTTATTTTATTTTATTTTATTTGGCTGTATGAACCCACCATCAGAGTGCATCCGCACCATCCTAGAATAAGCGGAACGGCGTAACGACCTTGAATCGAATTCCAGAAATTCTATTGGCTGAAATTTTGACAGATGAATTTTTCAGCCAATAGAATTAGTCGAAATCTATTCAAGACGCCGCCGCGCCGATACGCCGATCCACTTTTTCTAGGATGGTATGGATGCATCCTAAGAAGAACGACAATTTTATTGAAATTTTGTGAGCATATATATGTTAATTTAGAGCATTTTTTAAAAATATAGATCTACAGGGTGTCCCAAAAAAATCACACATCAAAGTTGTGTTTCTTGTAATGGAACACACGGTATATTAAATAATTGATTTTCGTATTCTGGGAAAAATAAAGGTGAGTTTCATAAGAGAAACATATGATTAAAATGTAAGGTTTTGACATATTTAGCATTTTTTAAAAATCAAAAACAAATTTTAAACATCAATAAAAGCTATCTAAATTGAAATTTCTAGTGATGGGATAACTCGAGCGATTCTCGATTAATCGCTCTCGAATTCGCTCGAGTACTCGAGTACTACGATTATTGAAATAACCGACATCGCTCGATTATGAACGAGCGATGCAACTGACGAGTACCAAGCGACAAACGCAAGCGATCCTAGAATGAAATAAATTGAAATCCGATTTTAATGTGACATACTTGATAAAAAACCGAACGAATTTTCTACATACATTGCAGGTAACAAATTTATACGACGCCGTATATATTTATCCGTTGCGTATCTAAGGGACAAAACTTTACGACCTACATCGACAATGCTTTGAAATAAACTAAATCAAGAATCAAGCGAATCGCTCGCCGCTTGCTACTTGCCATTCTTCCTACCATTCTTACAACAAGCGACGGGTGAAAAACCGTATTTTTAAATACGAGTGATATTTCGCTCGAGCGATCACTCGGTTACTGCAATCGCTTGAAACTCGAGTACTCGATTATTGAAATTAGTCGGTTTTTCCCATCACTAAAATTTACCCAGTAAGCCTAATTATTTAAAATAAATATTTTACTTTAAATCAAATGAAAACTTGGCCTGAAAACTTGTACAGTGTGAGACAAAATTAATATTAAACATTAGTCACTTTTAACAGCAAGTTACAATATTTTAAATGGAACACCCAGTATATTATTCTGATATTTAATAGGGATTTCATGTCTCTTCAAAATACTATTAAGGTTGCCTACCAGTCAAACAAAGATTTTCCTAGATATTTTTAATTTTATGATTTAATGTAGGTAGACCTTTTTTATTTCATAAAATCTAGGTGGCTGTAAACGCTTCCGCGTCGTATAAAAGGCGCCATCCTGTATATTTTTTTTGTTAAATAAGTTATTAAATAATACTTACGGCAGTCTTCATCAGTATCCGTAATTTCATTTTCCTCAGAATTTGAATCAGTCTGATCTGAATCCACCAAAACTGTATTAGATTCCCCTAACTTAATTTTAATATCATCCTCTGGCAATTCATCGTCTATCGTTATACTATCCTCCATTTTTTGTAATTCCTCTATTAGAGTATTTTCAGGAAGAACCTCAGTCGATTTTAATTTCTCTAAACTGTTTGAATTTTGAACTGATATCACGTTTTTCTTTACCGGAACATCACCAGATTGTAGATTACTTAATTTTATATGCTTATCAAACACTTTACCGCTATAGGAACCATTTTCAGGCCCTTAGAATGTAACATTTGCAATTGAGAGAACGGAATCACTTTTTTAGTGGTATTTCCTTTAAAAGTAACGAGTTTCGGAGATAGGTTTTGAGTATTTGCTAGTTGTAGATTCGAGGGGAACTGACTGTTACCTACTATTTAAATTTATCTAAATTTAATTTAGTTAATTTGTTCATTGGAACTGACAAAGTCTTTTGTAATATACTATTTGTAGTTATAGTTGAAGCGTTTGAAACAACTATCAACTTTTTGCCTTTGTTTATAGTTTTGTTAGTGTTCATTTTAGGTACAGGATCGGAAGTGTCATCACTAGAAGACTGTTTTAGAAACGTCACATTATTAACACTTTTCGGATTGGGTAAATGATTTTCACTAACTACTTCCTTAGTAATATTCGTCTCTGTAGATTTCTCAGACACCATCGGCGGTATAGAAACATTTTGTATAATATTAATTTTCTGAGAATTTACAGTAGTTGGAGCTGTCACAGTTTGAACTCTATTATGCACAGAATTAGGATTTAAACTAGATTTTATCAAATCTTTACTCTCTGTTTCATCCAAATCTTTGTGTTTATGCTTTGAGATCTTTGAAGCTTGACTAAAAATAATAAACAAATATACATTATACAGGGTCCTACAAAAGTGCATCTGTATCTCCTATAATAAAAAATGTATGAATTTTATTTAAGTGCAAACCTAATATACTTGGATAATGTGTGTACATATGCAGGAAAATATCTTCACTTCTACAGGGTGGCTAAAAGTGTGAGTGGATTTGGATGTTTTTTTTTTTGTTTAAATGGAATACCCTGTATATTATGGCATTTTTGGCTTTCTTTCCGATCACTTTACAAAGTGCTAAGATGTTACTAAATTTGTTTTGATAGTTTTAGAGATATTAATATATAAATAAAATAAATTCTTCCTTTAAAGACTTCCTTTAAAAAACCTACTAAAAATACAAGAAATGCCCTGAAATCAAAACTTACTTTGCTATAAATATAGTAAATCATACAGTGTGTTCAAAATTTAACTCCAAACTGTAAAAAATATAATAATTTTTCTATGTTTATATATTTATTTATTATTTTTTTATAATACACCCTGTGTATTATTCTTTTGTTAGATAAAGAATTAAAAAATGAACTTTTTTGTATTTAAAGCATTTTAAAATTTTTAACGGTTTTGCAGATATTCGCGGTATTATATTACATAATATAGCTTTCTTAAGATGTTCGAATAAAAAACGGCGCCCAGTTGGCTTGGAAATAACGATCGTTGACATTCCCCATATAATTTTAGATATAAAATTACGATGGCGATCTTGATCTCAAAATGACATATAAAATGGCGATCTTCATTTCACAGCCATCGTACAGTATAATAATACAGCAAATATCTTATTCATTTAAATTTTAAAATACAAAAAATGTTCATTTTTTTAATTCTCTTTCTAACAAAAGAATGAGTGTTTTTAGAAATTGTGTGTATTTAAAGAAAACCAAGAAAACTGATTTTACATTTTACAAAGTTTCCCATGGAATTTTGAACACTGTATTATTCAAAATAATGATATTTATAATATAGTAAAAAGTATAGCCCAACTATACTAAGTACCTAGCATAGTTTTGATGTCAAGACACATCTTATTGTTTTAATATTTTTTTAAAGGCTAAAAAATATGATTTTTTCATTTATTTATTTATATCTCTGGAATTATTATAACAAATTTAATAATATATTAGGACAATGTAAAGTGATTAAGAAGGAAGCCAAAAATGCATCAATATACAGGGTGTTCCATTTAAAAAATAAAATCCAAATCCACTCACACTTTTTTGGGCCACCCTGTAAAAGCTAAAATATTTTCCTGAAATAGGCCTTAGTTCATATTTAAGTATACACTTAAACAAAGTTCCAAAGTTCCTTCTTTTTTATAGGATCTACAGACCTCAGATGCATTGTTTCATGAACTTAATTGAAAACTCAGAGTAACTCACTCACCGATAAATTTGTTGTATTCTACTTATTTTATTACCCAGTAAATGCTGAGCAAGACTACTGTTTTCACCAGCATAACTTTTACGTTTCTTAAAATCTTCTTTAGGAACTTCTGGAACTCTAAATGTCTGTGTTTTTCCAGCTACATCATTGGTTGAAACTGAGGGAACGGGTGATGTAGCTGGTCTTTTACGTTCTGTATTAGCTGGCAATGGAAGTTGGCTGTTGTACTGTACAGCTGTATCGGAAGCCTCATCAGCTATTATTGAGTAAGGTGTTTGAGGGGGTACCCTCGGCAATAATGGTACAAGTCTTCGACCTTCTAATGCCCAATCTTCCAAAGAACTCAATTGCCCAGTAACACTAATATAAATTAAAGTGTTGGAAGTAGATCTGAATTAGAAAGTATGTCATAATACTTACTGATATGCGATAGTGTTTAATCTTTCATCACTAATAGCCCTACGCACTTCAGCTTTATGTCTTTCATTTGAAATGTTTAATAGAATACTTGTTTCCTTCAGTAAATTCCTTTTTTCTTGATTTAGAGTTCCTTGAGCTCTTAAAGCAGATACTAATGATGAATAAGCTTCTAACTCTAGAAATAAAAATAGTATTTATATACACATTAATACACAATGAGTCTAACAAAGAATTTATATCAATACACAAATTTAGTATGTGTCCTTGGTTGTTACCAAATTTCTACTCTAAAATTAAACGATGTAATTAAATAATATGTACGCTACAAAAGCGCAACTTTCTAGCAGAACTAAACATACATTTCATAAAGAAAAATGCTCACCTAGATGCCTTAAACTTTCTACAGATTCGTCCTCTGTCATGTCTAACAATGTCGGCCACATTTTCTAAACAATAACGCTTATATTTTAAGCGTCCACTATCAATTCATTAAAATTACTATAAATTATTTGAGAACTAGACAAATTACTACTTTATGCAGTTCATTTTATTTCAAACCATAAACATCTAAAAAAGATTAGGTTAGAAACAAATCTAGTTGACAATCTGTCAAGTGTTTGGTGCCAATTTTAAAATTATGAAAAATTCGCAAGGGTCTTCTTTTAGATAATTGTAAAATATTTTAATAGAATATTTGATAAAAACATATTAAATTCTCTAAACTAAAGGTAATTAATTAAAATATTCCTTAAAATGCAAATTAAAAGCGAAATCATATATAAATCATTAATAAAATCTGTAGTTCTTTCTTCTTATTTTCTTTTAATTTCTCAGTTGCCAGGACTATTCGGCAAATAATCCGTGGGTGGGTCATTGTAGCAACATAAAATCTTCACTGATCTATGGTTTTCTGCGTCGTTTGGCTATATTTTTTTTCGAGGAAGAATTTTTAACTAAAAACGTCAAATTATTTTGACGTCTCGAACAGTTTCTAAAAAATATCAAATTAAAAAATGGCAGCGGAAATCAAACCGGCTACACAAACTAACGATAGATTTTGTACAACGAAAAAGCCCGTCCTTCTGGCCAAACTAGATGGGTGCAGCGATGAAATAAACGCAGCAGTAATTATTCCAGGAGAAGACGGTGTTATCAGTGTCTCGGATGATAAGTGAGTCAAGCTTCTTACTTGTTTTGTTTGTTATCCAAATTTCTTATTTCCTCCCGTTTCATTTTATCGTTAACTGCTTTTATTTGTCTTTTATTTAATCTTTGTATACTGTTTTGGGGATCTAAACAGTTCAATTTGTTTTAATTACTTGGTATTTGGATGTTTATACAATACAGTTCTAAATATTTATAGAAATCACAGTGTAGTGTAAAGTAAAAATATAAATTTCTGTATTTTAAAAGGATATTTCGCTTTCTTAATATATCACAAAGGCGTTACAAGTAAGTTGTTATCACAGTTGTTATTAATAAGCATCTAAAAAGAAATTAATTATATTTTTAGCACTGTGAGAGAGAGTATGGAATTCTAAATATTTATTGAAATCACATCATAAATAAACTATTAATATTTCTGTATTTTAAAAGAATATTTCACTCCATTAATATACCACAAAGTATCTAAAGAAATTAATTATATTTTTAGGACTGTAATTAGTCTGTACTATCTACTATCAGACTTCTTAATATTTATTGAAATTACAACATAGTATAAAAGTAACACTGTAATTTCTATTATTTAAATGGATATTCCACTCCATTAGTATATCACAAAGATGTCACTAGCATATAGTTGTCATTAATAGGTATTTTAAAGAATTTAATTATATTTTAGGACTGTGAGGGTATGGCTAAAAAGAGATTCAGGTCAATACTGGCCGAGTATATGCCAGTACATGCCAAGCGGTACCACTTCTGTCTATTACACTGTGGAAACAAGACAACTCTTTATAGGACAAGAAAATGGAACTGTATCAGAATTTTCTCTTGCGTCTGATTTTAATAGAATGATGCCAGTACGGGAGTACCTAGCTCATCAGGCCAGAGTCACCGATATTATATTTTCAATTAATTGTGAATGGGTACTCAGTGTTGGGAGAGATAAAGTATTTTCATATAATTGTACTCAAACAGGTCGAAATATTGGGACATACAATGCTGAAGCTTGGTGTACAGCTTTACAGTATCCTTCTTTGATATCGATAATTATAAATTATAAAAATAAAATAAAATATTTTAAATATAAATAAATTATTATATTTAAAATATTTTTAAAATGTAGAACAAAAAATGATTATACGCATAGGTGCATTTTGCACCTAAGTGTATTTAAAAAATTGTTAAATTCTTATAAATATTTAAAGTGTGTTTTAATATTTGATATCTATTGGTATTTTATTAATTAATATTATTAATAATTAATGCATTGAGAAATTCCTTAACTTTAATCATAGATTCGATGCACAGTCAAAACACGCTTTCATAGGCGATTACTCAGGTCAAATAACTATGCTTAAGGTAGATAATAACGGACCCACTGTCATAACCACCCTAAAAGGTCACTCTGGTTCGATCCGGTCACTTTCTTGGGATGTTGCCAGGCAGATGCTGTTCAGCGGTTCCTTTGATCACACTGTTATTGTTTGGGATATTGGAGGCCAACAGGGGAACGCTTATGAGCTACAAGGTCATCATAATAAAGTAAGACTTAAAAATGGAATTACTGTGCTGTATTTTGTTGGTGCTAATTTTAACTGCTAATTAATTAAATTTTGTAGGTGTCGGCTTTGCATTATTCAGACTCTACCAAACAATTAATCAGTGCTGGAGAGGATGGTGTTATTGTTTTTTGGGATATGAACCAGCCTAGACAAGAAACACCGGATTGGAAGGAGTCAGATGTGTGTCAGCTTTGTGGAAGGCCCTTTTTCTGGAATTTGAGGTTAGTACTGGGAAAAGGCGAAAAAAATTAATTAATTTTCTTAGGAAAAAGCAAGATTTTTTATTTTTTCATATACTTATTTTACTGTTTTTATTGTTTCTTTCCTGTATAACAGGGACCTGCAACAGGGCGTCTGTATATACTAAGTCCTATAAAAAAGAAATTTTCTGTAAGTGCATTTCAAAAGTATATACTCGGTCTATTGTCTATTTCATGAAAAAATAGTTTCTAACTGCTACAGGGGTCCAAAAAAGTATGAGCGTATAAGGAATTTTTTTTAATGGAACATCCTGTATATTATTGCATTTTTTGGCTTCCTTCTTGATCACGTTACATAGTCCTAAGATATTAGTAAATTTGTTTTTATAAGTTCAGAGATACAAGAAAAGTTAACTTGTTTTTAATATTAAAAGATAAGATGTGTCCTGAAATCAAAACTATGCTGGGTACGTATTATAGTTGGTCTGTACTTACTTTATTATAAATATCGTAATCTTAAATTATACAGGATGTTCAAAATTCCATGCCAAACTTTCTAAAATATAAAACATTTTTTTCTTCATTTTTTTTAAATGGAACACTCAGTCAATATATTTTTGTTAGTTTTAAAATTTTTAACGGTTTCGCCGTTATTTTTAAATAATACCGCGAATATCTCTGAAACCGTTAATCATTTTGAAATATTTGATACAAAAAATATAAATTGTTTAATTTTTGATCTAACAACAAAATAATATACAGAACATTTAAACAGCTCCATTTAAAAAAAAACAATAATTCTTAATGGCATAGAATTTTCGACTCCCTGTATAATTTAAGATCAGGCCAACTATAGTAAGTACCTAGCATAGATTTGATTTCACGACATATCTTATAGTTTTATTATTGCCAAAAATTAAGGAAACCAAAAACGCAATAATATAAAAGGTATTCCATTTAAAAAAAAATTGCGCCGGAAGGCATGTATAGCCGCCCATACTAAAATACGTCTCAATAATCTCAAAAACTGCGACTTTGACTGATTTTGATGTTATTACAAATTTTGTTGCAAATATTATTCCTAATCTTAAATTGAAAACCGCGTTTCGCTAGCTTCTGTAATTTTGGAGTTACGATTTTTTTAAATTTTTAACCCCCTCCCATATCCCCTTACCAACCCCCCACCCCCACCAAAAACTAATGGTCAGATTCTCGGGTGCCACAGTATTTTTGTGCCAAATTTGGTTAAAATCGGTTTAGCGGTTTTTGAGTTATCGTGTTACAGACAGACGGACAGACAGACAGACACCATGAGAATATTTTGTATTTAGGTCATTTATGACCCAAATAACTCATTTTGAGTGAAATTAAAAAAACTTTTTTTTGCTGATCTTAATAGCCTACCATACCTGTTGGTATGGTCGGCTAAAAAAATCATCCCAACCCACACACGCTTTTGAGCCACCCTGTAAAAGTTAAAATATTACCCTACAAATGCCCGACGCACCCTGTATAAGACAATAAGTTACTATTTTTAACTTTTAATTTTTTTAGAGACACTTTCTAACCAAGACTTGGCGGTTTGTTTTTAAACTGAAAAATACAGATATTTTCGCTATGATCTATGTACCATTGCCAAAGTAAACATTTTGAACCAATGATTATTTGACACCAGAGTACACCAAGTTATTTGGCCAGGGCCGTTCTAAAGGGTTAATATAAAAAATTCAGAATTAATTAAAAGCTCCCTAAAGGTTAACTAAAAATCTGCATAAAGCTTAGTAATGTCAATTCTTTATTAAAAGTTAGCATTTGTAGGCTTCAATGACCCCTACACATACTCAGAAATACCTCGGGAAATACTAATAACTTAATTATTTTTTTAATGACACAAATTAACTGATAGTTATATCTTAGAGCTATGATGGATCAGCGTCAACTTGGCTTACGACAACATCACTGCCGATATTGTGGCAAGGCTATTTGCGAGAAATGTTCACAGGGTAGAGTGACCATACCGAAAATGGGCTATGAATTTGCTGTTAGAGTTTGTGAGCATTGCCATACTTCAATTAAAGATGTCGAGTAAGTTTTATTTATCTAAAAATCAAAGACATCTAACTTAAAGGAGACAAAACTATTTACATTTTATCGCGATCAAACATCGTTTTCAAAAAAATGCGATGGTGATAAATTTCTGCGGATTGCGTTATATGGTTTTTACAATGTTTTACTATGAATTTACTCAAATTATGTTCAACAGTGTTGCCGCGCGGTGTTTGTGTGACTTTCCGTCACATTTCCGTGACTTTTTACGTAAAAAATGACTCTTGGTAAAAATCGCTAAGAGTAACAGTTCTCAAGATATTTAGAATGGAAATAGTCAGTACATGTCATTATTGACAAAAATAAACACGTTGAATAGACAGTTATTTGACTGAAATAATAAATTTGGAAAAATTTTATTTTTTAAATTAATTACAATTTTTTCTGCGAAGAAATGATGATTAAACAGTCCCTGTTGAACTTTTTGCACAAAAACATTTCAAATTTATGATTTCAGTCTAATAACTATTTAGTCAACATGTTTAATTTGTGTCAATGATGAATAAAATAGTCAATGATGACAGGTATTAATAATTTCAATTCCAAATATTTCGAGAACCATTACTGGTAGCGATTTTTCCCAAAAGACATTTTTTACTTAAAAAATGTCGTAAATGTATATATTTTTACTCAGTAGCAGTGGCGCATCCAGAGATTGAGTCTGGGAGGGGTAGTGGCAATATTTAAATATAGTAATAGATTAACTTAAATTTTCGCTATTAAGGTGTTGTGTATAAGCAAAGAATATCTTAATACCCTAGAAGTCTCGTCTGGCATCAAAATCTGACCTGTCGATGGGGCCTCGCTTTGGCGAGCGAGGCCCCAACTTCGTGGAGCCTCGCTATTTTGCTCGGAATTGATCGAATAGACGCGCGGCGTTGCCTTGTTTTGTGTGTACTTTCTTGAATAGTTTTAAATTATAGTTTTAAATTTCATCTATTGCTATAATCAGTCTTTCCGCTCTCCGCACTCCGCAGTTTTCATATAATATTATCTATATAATTCCCGTGTTACAGTTTTTGGGTGGTTTGGTTACCGTACTCCTCGAGCAAACCTTCAGTTACGATGAAATTTTATATATTCAGTAGGTCTGAGAATAGGTAGTTATATATTTTTTATACCCTTAAGTAAGGGTAGTCCACCCCCCATTTTTTATTTTGTGAAAAACAATATTTTATTTTTTTTATTTAGCATTAAAAATACAAATAACTGTTTTCACGTTCTACTTTCATCCCTAATTTTTAATAGGGGTTGTTTTTAATTTTTATTACCATCTCCAAGAGCAGCAACCGATTTTTGATAAAATTTTATATGTATATTCAGTACGTCTAAAAGAATAAGTTATTTATCTATTTTTATACCCTTAACTTTGATAAGGGTAGCCGAGAGAGAGTAACCATTATATTAGTAGGTCTGAAAACAGGTTGTTATATATTTTTTGTATAGTGATAAGGGTGCCCTTTATTTTTATTTGCAAAAAAAAATATTTTTATTGGCATTAAAAATACAAACAACCCTAAGTTATCACCGTTCTACTATCATCCCTATTTTTTAATAAGGGGTTTCTTTTTGTTACCATCTCAGAAACGGCTTGATCGATTTTTGATGAAATTTATATGTATATTCAGTAGGTCTGAGAATACGTTAGTTATCTGTTTTTATACCCTTAAGTGATAAGGGTAGCCCACCACATTTTTTTATTTTTTGTGAAAAAAAATATTTTAATTTTTCTTTTATTTGTCATTAAAAATACAAACAACCTAAATTTTCACCGTTCTACCATCATCCCTATTTTTAACAGGGGGTTGTTTTAAGATTTTTGTTACCCATCTCGAAACAGCTTAACCGATTTTGATAAAATTTTATTTGTATATTCATTTTTGATCTAGAATAAGTTATTTATCTATTCTTATACCCTTAAGTGATAAGGGTAGCCGAGAGAGGAGTAACCCCTCTATTTTTATTTTTGGAAACAAAAAATAATTTTTTTATTTGGCCTTAAAATACCAAGCCAACTCTAAATTTCTATAGTTCTACCATCATCCCCCTATTTTCTAATAGGGGTTGTTTTAATTCTCATCTCTCGAAACGGCTATTTTGGAAACAGCTTGGCCGATTTTGATGACATTTTATTATGTATATTGAGTAGGTCTGAAAATGGTTTGTTGTCTATTTTTTATACCCTTAAGTGAGTAAGGGTAGCCCACCCATTTTTTTTTTTTGAAAAAAATATTTTAATTTTTATTTGGCATTAAAAAATACAAACAACCCTAAATTTTCACCGTTCTACCATCATCCCCTATTTTGAACAGGGGTTGTTCTTTTAAGATTTTTGTTACCATCTCGAAACATGGCTTAACCGATTTTTGATAAAATTTTATATGTATATTCAGTACGTCTAAGAATAGGTTGTTATCTATTTTTTATACCCTTAAGGGATAAGGGTAGCCGAGGAGGGTAGCCCACCCCTCATTTTTTATTTTGGAAAGAAAAATATTTTTTTTTATTTGGCCTTAAAAATACAAACAACTCTAAATTTTTCACCGTTTACCATCATCCCTATTTTTCTAATAGAGGTTGTTTTGATACCATCTCCGAAACGGCTGTTTTTGGAGCAAGCCCCTTTTACCATCATCCCTATTTTCTTAGGGTTGTTTTGATACCATCTCCGAAACGGCTTGGCCGATTTTGAGTAAAATTATATAAGTATATTGAGTAGGTCTGAAAATAGGGTTGTTATATATTTTTTATACCCTTAATTGATAAGGGGTAGCCCACCCTCATTTTTTATTTTTGGAAAAAAAATATTTTTTTATTTGGCCTTAAAAAATACAAACAACTCTAGAATTTTTGGCGTTCTACCATCATCCTATTTTCCTAATAGGGGTTGTTTTTGATACCATCTCCGAAACAGCTTGGCCGATTTTGATGACATTTTATTATAACATATTATTGTAGGTCTGAAAATGGTTTGTTATCTATTTTTTATACCCATTAAGTGGTAAGGGTCAGCCCACCCCCATTTTTTATTTTTTTAAAAAAATTATTTTAATTTTTTTTTATTTGGCATTAAAAATACAAACAACCCTAAATTTTCACCGTTCCATCATCATCCCTATTTTTTTAATAGGGATTTGTTTTTAAGTTTTGTTACCATCTCCGATTGACCGATTTTGATGAAATTTTATATGTATATTCAGTAGGTCTGAGAATACGTTGTTATCTGTTTTTATACCCTTAAGTGATAAGGGTAGCCCATCCCCATTTTTTTTATTTTTTGAAAAAAAAATATTTTAATTTTTTTTATTTCGCATTAAAAAATACAAACAACCCTAAATTTTCACCGTTCTACCATCATCCCCTATTTTTTAATAGGGGTTGTTTTTATATTTTTTTGTTGCCATCTCCGAAACGGCTTAGCCGATTTTGATGAAATTTTATATGTATATTGAGTAGGTCTGAAAATAGGTTGTTATATATTTTTTATACCCTTAAGTGATAAGGGTAGCCCACCCCCATTTTTTTTATTTTTTGAAAAAAAGAATATTTTAATTTTTTTATTTGGCATTAAAAAATACAAACAACCCTAAATTTTCACCGTTCTACCATCATCCCCTATTTTTTAATAGGGGTTGTTTTTTTAAGTTTTTTGTTACCATCTCCGAAACGGCTTAACCGATTTTGATAAAATTTTATATGTATATTCAGTACGTCTAAGAATAGGTTATCTATTTTTTATATCCTTATCTGGTAAGGGTAGCCGAGAGGGTAGCCCACCCTCATTTTTTATTTTTTGAAAAGAAAAAAATGTTTTTATTTTTTTAGTTGGCATTAATAAATAGAAATAACCCTAAATTTTCACCGTTCCACCATCATCCCCTATTTTTTAATAGGGGTTGTTTTTTTTTTAATTTTTTGTTACCATCTCCGAAACGGATAGACCGATTTTGATAAAATTTTATATGTATATTCAGTAGGTCTGGTTTGGTTTGGTTTGGTCACAACCTATTCCCAGGTTGTTATCTATTTTTTAAGAGTGGTCCACCCCAACTTTTTTTAGACAAAATTTTTTTTTAATTGTTTTATAGGGAGTGCTTATTTTTTAGGGGGTGCATGTCCAAAATTTTCTTCTGGGTACTCACTTTCATCACCTAAGGGACCTCTGTACAAAATTGCATATTCCTAGTCCTAGAACGGATTTTACATAAAAATTATACAAATTTTTACCTTATCCCTTTAAGGAATGAATTCCAAAAATCGCTCTAATTATTCAATTACGCTACATAATAAACCCCTGTGCAAATTCTCATATTCCTTGAACAGAATTTATTGTTGCAGAACGTTCAACCCCTCATTTCACACCCTTAGAGGGCGAATTTCCAGAAATTGCTTCTTAGTGCTAAATTACGTTACATAAGGAACGTCTGCAAAATTCATACTTCTAAAACCCATTTTAAGAAATTTTTGTACAAATTTTCATCCCTTATTTTTTAGGGGATGCATGCCTAAAATTCGCTTCTAGGTACTCACTTTCATCATTTAAGGGACCTCTGAACAGAATTTCATACTCCTAGTCCTAGAACGGATATTACATAAAAAATTATACAAATTTTCACCCCTAGTTTTACCCCCTTAAGGAATGAATTCCAAAAATCACTCTAATTATTCAATTACGCTAATAATAAACCTCTGTGCAAGTTCTCATATTCCTTGAACAGAATTTATTGTTCCAGAACGTTCAACCCCTCATTTCACACCCTTAGAGGGCGAATTTCCAAAAATTGCTTCTTAGTGCTAAATTACGTTACATAAGGAACGCCTGCAAAATTCATACTTCTAAAACCGATTTTAACAAATATTTGCACAAATTTTCATCCCTTATTTTTTAGTGGATGCATGCCTAAAATTCGCTTCTAGGTACTCACTTTCATCATTTAAGGGACCTCTGAACAGAATTTCATACTCCTAGTCCTAGAACGGATTTTACATAAAATATTATACAAATTTTCACCCCTAGTTTTACCCCCTTAAGGAATGAATTCCAAAAATCGCTCTAATTATTCAATTACGCTACATAAGGAACCTCTGTGCAAATTTTCATATTCCTTCAACAGAATTGTTTCAGAACGTTCACCCCTCATTTCACACCCTTAGAGGGCGAATTTCCAAAAATTGCTTCTCAGTGGTAAATTACGTTACATAAGGAACGTCTGCAAAATTCATACTTCTAAAACCGATTTTAACAAATTTTTGTACAAATTTTCATCCCTTATTTTTTAGGGGATGCATGCCTAAAATTCGCTTCTAGGTACTCACTTTCATCATTTAAGGGACCTCTGAACAGAATTTCATACTCCTAGTCCTAGAACGGATTTTACATAAAAAATTATACAAATTTTCACCCCTAGTTTTACCCCCTTATCCTTCAACAGAATTGTTTCAGAACGTTCACCCCTCATTTCACACCCTTAGAGGGCGAATTTCCAAAAAGTGCTACTTAGTGCTAAATTACGTTACATAAGGAACGTCTGTGCAGAATTTCATACTTCTAAAACCGATTGTAACAAACTTTTGTACAAATTTTCATCCCTTATTTCTAGGGGATGAATGTCAAAAATTAGCTTCTGGGTACTCACTTTCGTCACTTAAGGAAACTCTGTACAAAATTTCATACTCCTAGAACTAACATTTTTTGTACAAAATTTCACCCCCCAGTTTCACTACCCTTAGGCTATACATTTCCAAAAATCGCTTATCAATGTTCAAATGCGCCACATCTGTGCAAAAGTTTCATACTCCTAGTAGATACATATTTTTTTTGTATAATTACACCCCTTTATCTAGTTATTCGACCCCTTATGGGTCGAATTTTAAAAAATTACTTAGTAGTGCTCATCTTAGTTATATAGCTCCCCTTAATTAATATTCTCTGTATTTACTCCAGTTTCCTAATACTAGCACAGATAACACATAATCATACTAGTTAATTTTTTATTGGAATAGAAGTAATTTTTATTAGAAGGTACAAAAAAATTAAAAATCTAAAATTTTATTTTCATAGCTACGTTTTTATAGCCTTAGGATGCCTCATGTCTATAGAATACGAAATATAAAATCAATACATATTTCTTTAAATATCGAGAAATAAAATATGTTTGGCAACACCGTACGAAATATCGCCGCGCGTAGTCCTCAAAATTTAAAATATTAGCATTTTCAGGCTTCGATTATGTTCAAAAGCGCCACCGTATGACAAATCACTAAAGCTTCCACACGAGAGTTCTTAAAACTATAATATTCTTTGGTATAAGGTATTGTGACTATATGGCTTACATTTTTCGGGATTTCTACTTTGACATTATTAATTTATTTTTTGTGACAATTTTATTTATATAAAAATATTTTATTAATTTATACCATATTTTCTTATTTATAAATATCTTCCTGGGAAGGGTAATTACCCCCATTATACCCCTCCCGTATATGCGCCCCTGCTCAGTAGTTTTATACAGGTACGGACTAAAAGTTATTACTCTTCAAACCAGTTAAAAATATGTAGGTGACGCCCTCTACAAGTAGGAGTCGTATTGACATTAAAATCAAATTTCTCATGTCAAAGAACTCTCAGACACCAATTTTCATCCAAATATTTACGTTATTTCATATATTATTTGGAAAAAATCGAAATAAAAATGAAACTTCTACACCCCGTTTCTCCTAAACTAAGCATTTTAGGACAAATATTTATACGAACTTTTTTACTTATTTTTATCTGCAAAATATGCTGCCGAAGTTTCCGGAATACAGTTCGGACCACCCTGTATATTAATATTTATAGATTTATTACATTATATTTTGATATTAAATCAAAATTTAAATTATAATTACCTTTTACGATTGTTGATAAAAAAAACAGGACACCCCTTTATAATAAATCTAAAAGAAAGAAATGCGCACGAAACTCAACAGCGTTGTCATATTTATTTATCCATCTCTTTTTAACTTACATAAAAGTGTTGTATGTATAATCATAAACAAATTGTGTTTTATGAATGGTGTGTTGGCGTCCCCGCTTTAATTAGATGTCTTTGATCTAAACAACGATATTTTGGGTTTTTTAAGCATTTTTTCTTTATAGAAGACCATCCTTAGCAACGTTTCATGATGCTAAACATAATATTACCGGCATGAATGTCGACGAAACGTCAAAAAAACTGGTAACGGTTGGCCAGGATAGAGTCATTAAAATATGGGACATTTCTGCTTTGCTTTAACTTTTTAAATTGGTTGGCGAGTCACTGTATTGAACCAATTATTATCGTAAAAAATAAACTGAAATTTCAATATACTTTATATAATTTAATGTTATATTTATATTGTATAGGTTATGTTTAATGTTATGTATGTATAGTTTTTAAATTTACTGTTAATTACACACAATTAAGTAAGATAAATCTTCAGTTTTCATTTTCTTATACCTCTATATGTATAGTTCTGTCTGTTATTTCCCAAGCTGATTTTTTTTTGCTGCCGCCCTCTGATATTTTAGTTTTTGCTCTAAAAAAATTATCCAACGTAAACAAGCTCTTAATTTTTAATTTAAACCGTGGGAGGGTCACGAAACTTTTCCAAAAAAAAAACTAAAGAAACTATTTAAATAACATGGGATTTTCTAACCTTTTGCATTTAATTTTTTATCTCCAAAGCAAATGAACCTACAGCTTCGAGACAGTATTCTAATACAAAATTTTAAGCTTTACAAAAAAGGTCTCTTTGGTTTTTTCCATAAAAACATTTCTTTAAAAGTTATTCGCGGTCAAAGTTATTGCACACTGAAAGGCGATGAAACAATAACCTTAAATTATAGTTTTGATAAGGTTTTGATCAGTTGATCATAGAGGGCGAAATATTAGTTTTCCATATTAAAGTTGCTAAGGAAATATTGTTTTATTGAAAAAAGTATGGCTCTAGATCCTTTTTTAGTCAAAATCAAAAGGTGCAATAAGAATTTGCAGTGAATGATTAAAGTGAAAAATTTGATTATAAACTATGTGCATAACTTTGACCGCGAATAACTTTTAAAGGAATGTTTTTATGGAAAAAACTAAAGAGACCTTTTTATAGAGCGTAAAATTTTGTATTAAAATATGTATTTGTCGAGGCTGTAGGTTCATTTGCTTTGGAGATAAAAAATAAATGAAAAGGTCAGAAAATCCCATGTTATATAAATGGGAAAAGTATAATGATTCCGCCACGGTTTAAATCAAAAATTAAGAGCTTATTTACGTTGGATAATTTTTTTAGAGCAAACACTAAAATTTCAGAGGGCGGCAGCAAAAAAGATCAACTTGGCAAATAACGAACACTCTAATGTACAAGGTTATTCTTCACGCTATATGACACGGAATATTTATTGTAGTCAAATGATTACATTTTTAGAAATTGTGAGTGATGGTATCGTTGGAGGACTGCTAGAGCTACAATTTAAAATTATTTTCAAAAAGTGTAGTGTGGGGAATAAACAAAAAAAATATCCAATTTTTTTAGGCATATTTAAGTTTTTACAACGAGGTATTTTGCTGAAGTTTTTTTATTTACTAAATTTTGTGTTGCAATAATATAAATAATACTACGTAGTGATCGAAAAAACGGCGTCCAGTTGGCTGGGAAATGACTATCGGTGACACTCTACCTTTTGCAAATAATTTTAAATTGTAGCTCTAATAGTTTAAATGATCAATCACTCACAATTCCCAAAAAAATCTAATAATTTGACTACAATACTCGCAATATGTCGCATAGCTTGAATAACCCTGTTTACTTATAGACTTTCCTATTAGCTATGTTTGAATTTGCTTTTGCAAAGCATTCGTTAATAAAATATTCCATTCACAACTATTATGAATTTATTACTAATAACAAATACAGTGTATTAATATCTACATCAGGAAAAAAAATAAAACTTCCCACTTTATACAACAGTCTTCCGAGTACTAGCACCTAAGGCCAGAACCAATAGCTAAAAATGTCCCAAATGAACCACCTCCTTGCAGCATTACTTTGCCAACTGTGTTTACTAGCTCTCTACCTCTTAGTCCAGTCCTAAAAATGTAAAATTGTCCAGTTAAAAGGTGTGCAAATTGATAAAAAGTGTTACCTTAGTGCCGAAAAGCCTCCAAATAATGCTCCACTAGCCATACCTACACAGAAGCCCAAAAGAAAGCCCGTCTTCATTTTGTCGAAGCAGGAAGGACCCTGCTGAGAATATACGCCACCAGGTACTGCTGGCATCTGTTTGGATTGTTAAATTGTACGTTTTTTTAATTCAAAAAATTATATTAGATTACCTTGTTTAAATTTGTTCAAAACTAGACAATATGCCACAGATAGAATTAATTTGTTTCCATAACAAAAATAATCAGTATTTTTAAGTATATTCTGCTCGCTTTTTCTGTAAAACTGATATTTTAAAAAATAATCCTTCAAAAATCTGAAAGAAAATTATAACCTTACAAATTTTCTTCTTTTTAGATAATAGTTAATTTAACATCGAGATTATCTCAATCATATGTTCTGACTGACCGTCGAAAGGCGCGTGGTCATTGTGAAAAAGAAGAAGAAGAAGATCTCGATCATATATAATATGTCGTAAAAGAGTTTTTTCTCTGCTTTTGCTTTGGCTTTTGCTATTATTTATTTATTTTTGTTGTAGTGTTTGTCTAACAATTATCCATAGATTATAATTTTGGACTCTCTCCTTTTAATCAATTTTTTCTCGACACTGGCATAATGAACTATTTAAGTTCAATCCATTAAAAAAAATAGAAGAGGAAATGTATATCTTATCTGTGGTTGTCCATGTTTCAAACCCGAAGTTTAAAAAAGAAGAAGAACATTACTGTTAAGCCCCGTTCTCAGAACTGCGTCGTGTCGACAGCGACACAGTTTGACATTTCAAACAACCAATGGGAGCTGTACTAAATTTAAAATTGACAGGTGTTTGAATTTTGTACAAATCTCATTGGTCCTCTTGACGTGTCGCTGGCGACAGTCGCTGTTCTGAGAACGGGGCTTTAAGCCCCGTTCTCAGAACTGCGTCGTGTCGACAGCGACACTGATTGACACTTCAAACGACCAATGGGAGCTGTACTAAATTTAAAATTGACAGCTGTTTGAATTTTGTACAAATCTCATTGGTCCTCTTGACGTGTCGCTGGCGACAGTCGCTGTTCTGAGAACGGGGCTTTATTCTATGGTTACAGAACTGCGTCGTGTCGACAGCGACATCTGATTGACACTTCAACGACCAATGGGAGCTGTACTAAATTTAAAATTGACAGCTGTTTGAATTTTGTACAAATCTCATTGGTCCTCTTGACGTGTCGCTGGCGACAGTCGCTGTTCTGAGAACGGGGCTTTATTCTATGGTTACACTCCTTTTAAAACCTAAAACACAAAAAAGAAGGAGAATGAATGTGGTGCCTTTGTGGAAAAAGTGAGGAAATTTTGAAATAAAATGTTTCCAATGTTGCCAAGATATTAACAAAATACTAAAATTAATCTAATCAATGTGCTCGTTCAGGGAACACAGCGGCTGACCGACCGTCGACCGCTGAGAATTTTGCTCAGCGGCTGATTGTTTTTGGGTGTAAAAATAGACCGTTTAGGAAAGTCACTTACTCAGCCACTCAGTTACTACCTTTGAACCAAAAAATATTATAGTTTTTTGAACTTACAAATATATTGATTTAATTACAGGATTCTGTTTATATCTGGCAACCTTGGAAAACCTCTAGTTCAAAATTTTCTCACTTTTTCTATAATAGCGCCACAATCATTCTTCTTCTTTTTCGTATTTCAAGTCTTAAAAGAACAGTATCCACAGATTAAAAGTAATGTTCTTCTTCTTTTAGTTATATGTGTATGGAACAGAGATATAGAAGTGGAACTTACCTGGATCAACTCTAGGCCAGAGGTGTAGGTCATTCAGCCAATGTCCAGAAAAGATTAATCAAAAGAAGAGAGTCCAAAATATAATCTATGGTTAATTATTAGACAAAGATATGACGAAGACAACAACAAAAATAAACAAGTATAGCAATAGTGTCATTTTTTATTGAGTAATATTTGCATGTTGCATTATTCTCCTCATTAATTTGTGTTTTTATTTTGATTTTTAGGTGATCATGGATTTATTAGGGTCCATAATGCAGGCTATGGACAAACCTCCCTCCTTAAGCGAAAAAGAACGTGTATTATTAAAAAGTAAGAATGCTATATAGTTAGTTGTTTGATATCTACCATGTGAAATGAAGATTTATGATATACTTAACAATTTTTGTATTAAATTTAATATTTCTTTGTTAAGAAAAAAAGGAAGAAATTGAAAAGAAGCAAAAAGAAGACCAGGAAAGACTGAAAAGATTTAAAGATAGGGTAGAAGCTAAACTGGTGAGCCATTTTAGTGATTCCAACAATATCATGCTAAAGTTTGATGCAATGGATCAAATACATCGAAGTATAGTGTAAGTTGGGATATATTATGCAATGTTTTATGTACCTACTTACATTCGATTTTACTAATAGACATGAAGCAGCTGAGTCACAAGAGTTATTGTCCTATGCTTTTGGTATTGACGGTATTGATAGATATATAAGAGTATATAGACGAGAAAATGCACCTTGTGAAGATGAAATTGCAGCTAGAAGACGCGGAGAACCATGGAATGAAGAGATCAGGCAAAGACTAATTAAAACAGTAAATTTTAACAAAATTAGATCTAAATGTGTTTGATTTTTATATATTTTCTTAGAGAGAACAGCATAAAATAGAGGCTCTGGAATCTGAACAGAGAAAAAGGCCAAAAAAGATGATTCCAAATAGTAATTATAAAGATAAATATGCTCATATTATAGGCCAAGAAGCAGCTTTGGAAGCTGCAAGGAAAACAGAAACGAATAAATCATATGGATTTGGTAAGCAAATTAATTTGTGATTATTTTTTTGATTTTTGATCATTATATTTTTAGTACCAAGTGAAAACAAAAAGGATGTTAGATCTATAGAACAAACTATGGCAGATATAAGGGCGAAACGTAGAAAACTAAATGAAGAAGAGAAAAACGCAAATTGAATATTATTATTGTAGTCTGTTTAGGGCAATTCACATTAAAATATATTTAAATTACTTTATAGTTTAAGAAAAGTCTGATAAAAATGAAGGTTACATTATTTTATATAGAATAGTATGTATAAGATGTAAATACAAGTAATTTTTATTGAAATATTATAATAATTATTATTATTATGATTAGATGACTCTTTTTAGTTATGGTCAGCGAATTGACCAGAACATATGCCATAATTTTAGTTGAGATTGTTTTTTCTCTTATTAAAGGATTGTTATACTTATATTGACAAAATAAAAGAATTAAAATCTGGTCTAGATTTGTATTATTTTTTTAGTCGACTTGCTTTTGGGTAAACAAAATGTAACTATGTCAATGTCATTTCAAAATTTGTGAGGAATACTAATAAAGTTCCGTCTACACGTACCGTTTTATCCGTCTGATTTTGCTGGAATGACAAACACAGCACAGAGTATCTAAATCCGACTTATTGGAAAGTAGAGTTAAGATATTAAGTCACACTATGTTTGTTATTTTGTGGAATAAACCCAAGCTCACCTGATGATGGAGAGGGTTCCGAAACCGGTATTGAGGGCATTTAATGTTGAAATTTTTTTATTTTTATTTTTTTATGACTGCATTCAAAATACATACAACCCTAAATTTTCACCCTTCTACCATCTACCCTATTTTTTTAATTTTTTGTAACTATACTTTTCCGAAAGAGCTTGACCGATTTTGATAATTTTATTTTAGTAGGTCTGAGAATAGGTTCTTATCTATTCTTTATACCTTTAAAATATGGGTGGTCCACCCCACTTTTTAATTTTTTGGACAAAATTTTTTATTTTTATTTTTTTTAGGTTTTGGCATTAAAAATACATACAACCCTAAATTTTTACCCTTCTACCATCAACCCCAGAATATACAAAAAATAACCCCTATTTTTAAATAGGAGTTATTTTTTTTAATTTTTTTGTTACCATACTCCTCCGAAACGGTTCAGCCGATTTTGATGAAATTTTATATGTTTATTTAGTAGGTCTGAGAATAGGTATTGTAATCTATTTTTTATACCCCTAAGTGGGATAAGGGTGGCCCACCCCAATTTTTTTTTGGACAATTTTTTTGATATTTTTATGATGAGGCATTAAAAAATACATGCAACCCTAAATTTTCACCCTTCTACGATCAACCCCTATTTTTTAATAGGGATATTAGTAATTTAATAGTTTTAATTTAACAACAAATTGTTTTTAAAAATTGTTAGAATACCTTATTAAATTAAAAACGTGGGTATGATTGGGTATATACCGGGTATATCGTATTTACCTAAATTCAATATACTATTTATTGGCCTTTTGGGGGTATATGCCTCTATAATATAATTTTTAGTAATAAAGTAAATCAGGTCTAGAGGTTGACCTCGCCAAAATTATAATCGCCAAAATTGTTATTCCCCGGCAGTTTTAATGCCTATTTTTTCAATCATACGATATACGGTAAATATTAATTAATTATATTAAATAATTAATTAATAATATTATTATAATTCAAACATTAAGTATATTTTACTGTTTGAAATATTCCTTTATTACATTTTTGTTATTGCCACATATATTAGTTTTTAGGAGTTTAAAATTATTATTAAGACTATTATCTATAGTTATAAAAATTCCAGACTTTCTTACAAACCAGTTTGGATCCTATTTTAATAAGACTTTCACCTCTAGGACAGTGTGCTTTTGAGAAGAATATGTGGCCGGTCTGAGTATGATTCATACTGAAAATATAATTTTATTAATAATTATTAATTATAATTAATAGAAAAGTTTTATAATGCAAATACAAATATTTGGTAGTTATATGGTCTGTAAAATAAAACACTAATTACATTACACCCACACATAATTACAAGACACCAAAAAACTTTACTTTTGCACTGGACGCACGTTTCGCTAACCATGTTAGCATCATCAACAGATGATTACAACTTACAGTTTTAATCCTCTGCTGATGACGTGTTTTGGTAAGTAAAGTGTGTTTTGCGTGTATTGTTGTGAATTGGTGTTTTATTTCGCTGTTGTAACACCAAAGGTTCCAACCCCGGCCCATCTGTAATATAGTTTGATCATTGAGAGAATTATAAACGAATTCGACAAACGACAGTCAAAATATGACAGAAAACTATCTAGGTACGTTTGAAATAAAATGACAGAAAATTTTAATTCTATCTTAAGTATAGGTATGTTCCTATTTTTGTGGTACTAATTAGCACAAAAGGGATAAAGTTTGACCCACCCTGTACAAAAATTAAGTCCGGCACTATTTTTTACTACCTTTTATTGAAATAAAAAATTGAATTTATAGAAAATCATCATTTTAGAAAAAAAGAATTTACTCCCTTGTCCTCTTTTGTTCAGCTTCCCCCAATGTAATAAAGTCCCCCAAGATAATAAAGTTCTCCTATTCTTGGTGCCAGCCTACCAAGGGATATAAGGTAATGAAAAAGCAAACGATCTAGCTAGAAAATGAGCGAACACATAGCTAACTGGACCAGAACAGATCTGCTGCCCAAGAAAAAGCTCAAAGGCAAAGGAACTCAAGAACCCGGAAGACCCCATCCGTAACTTTGAATAGGAATCCTCCAACAGTCTAAGACACTCGAACAAATTTCTCAGAACTTACGACCGAGCAAAGTCAAAGATTTTTCTAGGAAGGACAATCTTCGGATTGTCAGGGGGTTTTTAACAAGACATTGTCTCCTCAATGAACACCTCAGTAGATTCCCCAGTAGCACACTATATTGGCTCAACATTTGATTCTATATTGGTAAAATATTGTATATGGACCCAATATTGGCAATTTCTAGCCAGTATTGGTAATATATAAGAGTTGCACCTTTTACTTTTTTTTTATTTTTATACAATATTTATCCAATATTGTTCCAACACGCGCAAAGCATATTTAGGAGTACCTAACTATAGTATTTATATTTATATGTAATATTAACCCAGTACACCGCCCAGTATTAGTAATATATATAAAAGATACACTATTTTTCTGTATCTATATAGAATATGCACCTTTTAACCGTATCTTTAATATTGGATTCATATAAATAATATATATTGGGCCATTAAAAAAAATCTGTCGTGTGCATCGTTGAGCCAATATGTAAATATAATATTTTACCTATATTGCTGAGCTACAGGGGTTGAAGCTAAGAAACAACGGCGAATTCCAGATTCTGTGGGGAAACACCAGCACACCTCATGACAACCATTCGTCCTATAAACTTTTGGTACAACAGAGTACGACTGATATCGGAGATTGAGAACTGCCCTCTGTAAAACCATCTCAGATACTGTCTTTTGTAAAAGCCCTGACTGTGTATATGATGAGTTAATAGATCTACAAAGACACGGTAATTAACTTCCCCCTCCCATACAATCTACATCTACATCTACACGTATTGAAGATTGTATATACTGGGTGTTTCAAATTCGGCTCTCATCATGGGGATTCCGGAAACAGTATGAGATTACAGAGTGGCTCAAAATCGTTTATTTAACTCACTGTTATGATACCTATGCTGTTTAGTTTAGAGACCTGCACGAGCCGGTTTTTTGTAGCCCGACCCGGCCCGGCTCGAGAAGAGAAGTAGGTTTTGTAAGCCCGGCCCGGTTTGTGGAAAGTTAAAACTTTAAACTAGTCCGGCCCGGCCCAGCCCGGCCCGAACCATTAAAATAAAATGATCAAAATAAAATTACAAATATACGTATGTATACGCAAAATAAAAAACGTAAACATAAACATAGCCTAAAAATACCTGTTATAATACAAGGTGTCTCAAGAACATGTACAGAAGCAAAGTTGTGTTTTTTTAAAGTGCGGAACCGGCCCAGCCCGGGCCCGACCCCTATTGACAGTTCAAGACCGACACGGCCCGAGGCCCGGGGTCGGGCCGGGCCGAGCCTGAGGCCCGTTCGGGCTACCCGGCCCGTGCAGATCTCTAGTTTAGTTTTCTGTCATCGCGTATTGAACTTAACAATTTTATGTCTCTATTAGTAATTAATGGAGGCTTATTATTTAAAGGTTGCTGATGGAATCAATATATTTAATAATATTAAAATATACTTGCTTTTGCTCTGATATAATTTTCTCTGTTTTCTGACTTTTAAAATTATCAAATAATTCATTGAGGTCAATGTTTTGCTTATCATCTGGAAATAATCTCAGCTGGGTGTCTGATTTACTCGTTCTGGAATAAAAATAAATGGAATATTACTAAAATATCAGACAAAAGAACCAATTAGTTATAATTATTTAAATAATCGCCATTTTTTTAGATGATCAAAGATGTGTATCTCATGTCTATTTACTTACTCTGTAGATTCTTGTTGGTTTATCAACAAATCTAAGCTTCTCCCATATCTAGCGACAGTTTCTTTATTTTTTAGTTGAATATGTTTACAACTAATTAATTGGTCTTGTGCCAATAAAAGAAATAAAACAATTTGTACAGTAAACAGCAACATGCTTACATTAAATTAGCTTCGCATAAAATACTTTGAACTGTTAGTTTGTTATTGAAAAGTCCGCTATCTTTATTGATAACTTCTCATTTCCCTACATACAGTAGAGAACAAAAGTTAATATCATAAACACTCACTAACGAGTAGGTATGATTTTTATTTGTCGTGCAAGTATAAGTAAGTTTAGAAAAAGTCATAAAAAACAAATACAGGCATATACGGAGTGTTTTACTAAGTGCTTTCTGAAATACTACTCAGTGCCGGATCTACCGTGAATCGGTGAAGCGACCGATTCAGCGCAATATCGAGAGGGGCGCATTTTCAGTAAAGCATATTCAATAAAAAAATCTACAAAACTTCCTTTAAAGGAACATTCTTGACTTACATGTCTTAGGATCTTGTACACCAAAAAGTAATATCGGTTCACTAAAAAAAAGGCTCGGTCCGGTACTGATACTACTAAGTATATCATTTACTTACTTACTGCCATTACTTGCTGACGAGTATTTAATACACATCAGAAAAGATGCATGGTTACGTAAGGCGCTTCCTTTCATGAGCTTTTCTGTGACTGAAAAGCCCGATACATGATATGTTATCTCTCTTCCGCACTCCGGGCATTCAAAAATCTCATTGCTTTGTTGCCTCTTTACTTTTTGGTTGTTGCTGTTAACTGAGTTTACAATTCTTCTCCATTGCGGTCTATTGTTCGCTGATTCTTCCCACTCATCCTGCATGTTTGTCCCCTTTAAGTTTTCGTGGAAAATATCCTTGTACTGTGCTTGTACCTTTTGAATTATCCACCCGGTTTCCTCTTACCGTCTACAAGCTCACCGTAAAGCAAATATTTTAGTAGGGTATTTTCTTGCATTGTGTATACGTGACCAGCCCATCTTAAGCGAGATTTTGTAATCATGACTTCAACGCTCTTGCAGCTTTTACAAGGACTGATACGTTTGAGACATGGCGGAACCATTTTATTCTTAAGAGCCATCTAAGGTGTCTCTGTTGCAACTTGTAGTATCATTTATAAACTAAACTTCAGGCATATCTGTCCCAATTATGAAATCCCAATTATGAACTCTGAAATTTCTTATTTTATTTTTTTTAACTGTAATACAGACGAATTGGACAACAGATGTTCTTCCTTCGAGGGTATAACTTCTTTTTCTTCTAAGGTCTCTTTTTAGACCTGATACCTCTGCCTCTGTTGTCCCCAATCTATAATAGGGATATATCCCGCTTTCTCTATTGCTTCTTGGGATTTGAGGTCAATTCCTATTGTGAGGACCTGACCATGACCCTCCTAGCTCCCTCGAGTGGTGTGTTTTGCCTTGCTCCTCGGCAGAAAGACCGTGATGGTCGTCCCTTTTGGGATGTTTTCTCTCTTTACTGCAACCAGTCCCGGCCCTTGCCAATTTTTAAGCTTAGGTGCCGTTTCCACCAACCAATCCGCCGATTCTTGAGATACATATACTCTATGAGAAGCATGCCCACCCCACCCCGAAAAACGCAGCTAACCGTTGTTGCGTTGCAATACGCTCGCTACTATGTCCATTGTCACTTCTTCTAGAGCCTTTTGCTGAATATTGACGATATAGGGCATGTCTTCTTATGGGAGGCATTGCTGAACGAAGCTTTCAGACGAGAGCTTTCAAGATGATAGGGTTTCAACCCCAAAGCCAATAAAACTGAATATCTCAAAAATAATTCTAAAAAAAGTGTAAGAATTCAAGACCGCGGCCTTGAATGGCGGCCGCGAGACGCACGCGAGACGACCGTGACGTGCGAGCTAGCGAAAGGAAAAGTTATAGCGGCAGTGTTGCCACAGCAACCCCATTCGAGGTAGATCTACCCCTTTGTAAGATAATTTAACTCCGCTATCTCGTAATAATCTACCCGGATGTAACGATCTGTGCCATACGACGCGGCTAAGAAAAGCACTATAATAAACTTTATACTGTACCAGCCTTGATTTCATGTATATTTTCATCGATAGGTTTGTAGCCTCTGAATAACGGTCTAGGTAAAGCATCTAGCTCATTTGCCAGCTCAGAATTAGAATTTAGAGTTAGTAACTCGCATTTTCATTGGAGGACACTGTCATATTTATATCAGAGTTTATATCAAACCAATAATCAACGAGAATATTCGTATAATTATGAAAATTACTGTAAATCACTATAATTAATGAATTGTTTCTAATTGAGCTGTAATTTCAGTATTATTAATCCGGTAAATAATGGAGATAAACAATTGTAATTGATTAAAATTTTATTTTAAGATGAAATTTTTGTTCACAACAAGTTAACAACATTCTGAGAATTCGAATAATGAATTGAATAATGACACGACAAGTGACATATGTTTAAAAAAGACAGCGATTTAGAGTGACAATTTTGATTATGCAAAAAAATACATGACATATTCTACGAGTTTACTGGTAGCCTAACGATTAACGTTAATTTAAAAATAAATCCCCAACATGAATACTGAACAAAACATTTAAACAAAAACAGGCTACAGAGCACACAAAACAAATTGTTGGTTAGTAGCTGTTAGTAGTAGTCAGATATACAGGGTGTCCCAGAAATAAGTGCAAATATTTTAAGGGGTGGTAGATCTGGCCAAAAGAAACATTTTTTCTCTTTACCGTTTTTCAAATAAGTTCAAAATAACCGAGTTATTTTACTTTGAAAATGTCCAAAAAAAATGATTTTTTGCTAAAATTTTGAGAACCACTGGATCTTTTCTGGATTTTCTTTCATGTAAATTTAAGCTACCCATATAACACAACACAATCCTATAGATATCTTGAGGATATCCACCAAGGATATAGTAAATATCTTAGGGATATCCAAAAACCAGAGAAGGATATTTATGGGATATCCAGATGGGACAAAAAAGTCATCTTCAAAACATCCCTAGGCAAGCCTTTTACGATTATTTGAGATATTTCTAGGTTAATACAAGGATGATTTTGGGAGCATTATAGAATATTTTTAGGCCATTATATGAGGACTGTTATTTGACAATACTTACGTCATCCTTAGTTTATAGTAAAAACGTTCGCGATTAAGTTTTATTTAGCCACATTTTGACGTTATTCATTGGATATTTCTATTAACAGCTCTAAAATATACCTACATATTATGTCAATGAATTTTGCGTCAAAATTTAGAAGTTTATTTGTATGAGTTAAGAGCTTTCGATTTATACTGTACCATCGAAAAAAAAACTGCGTTCAATTGGCAAGAAAATTACGATCGATGATATTCCCCCATAATTTTACATACAAAATAACAGCAATCTTCATTCCCAAGCCACCTCTGACGCCGTTTTTTTCGATCGTATGGTATTATACCAGATTATACTACCCTTTATGGAGTCTAGCAGCAACAGTTTACATCAAAGTTAGCACACAGGATACAGGTATAATTTCTAACACCACACATTCCAGAAACTCACAATTTAAACACAAAAATAGGATTTCTGTTTGAATGGATCAAACACGAAAATGGGTTTAGGGATAAAGAACAAGCGCTTTTCAACAAATTTTCACCTATAATTTTGTCACCAATTTTTCATTGTGAGACCCTGAGTCGTTCGTCGTTTTTAGACATTAGTTGAGGTTAGGATAGAATTTCTGCTAGAACAAGGCTAGAACTATGAGTATAAGAAAAAACTAAGTCAAACTCAACCAGTTTTGTTAGTTTCAGTTATTTTTAAGCCCATTCAATATCGACAAACGACCGAATTCACCTCGAATTTCACTAAATCAAAGAATTGAAAATACACGATGCAAAAACAAACAACTGTCGAGATGGATTGTGGCACAGAATTGCTTGCGTAGCTAGATATTCTGTGATTCTGGTAAATTTTTTGCGCTGGCGTTTTAAATTCTCTGTATTACCAAATTACTGGGAGTGGCCAAGCTCATAAATATCCAGATGATCCAGAAGATGGATATTTTGTAACCAACAGGATATTTTGTTGCCTTGACGTAACATATATCTATCTGTATGGTTTATTGCATTTTATGTAATATAAAAAGTAATACATTATTTATTTTTCCTAAATATCTAGATGATATTGTTAGGATATTTTATTATCATGAGCATGTTTGGATATCTCAGCTGGATGTACATTAGATAGACGACAGAGATATCTACAGGATTTCAGGATGTCTGAAGATGATCTTATAATAGGACATTCTGACATTCTATGAATATCCAGCGGATATTGTGTGTTATATGGGTACTACCTATGTTGTCATATTATCAAGAAATTATGTATTTAACTTAAAACTAAAAAAATTCCCAATTTTTTTTTTCAAAAAATTCAAAATTTTCAGAAAAATTTTTTCGCAAAAAAATACCTCATAGGGGTGTTTCTGGGGCCGAAATATACTACCAGTTAAAATACTTACACTTATTTCTGGGACACCCTGTATAGATGTAGATAGTATTTTGGTTTAATGGCCACAGCTATCCGGCCGAGTAATAGAATTATTGTTTTTTAATAAAAATTAAAAAAAAAACAATATAAAATTATAAAGGTAGAATAGTATACGGTTTTATATTAACACTAATTTTTTTGAAGTTTATAAAAAGCATTTATAAAAAAAATATATATCCTTTAAATCCTTCAATTTAATAGCTGTTAGTGTTTCACTTCAAATATGCGCACACAGTGCACACACAATTTTTTTAAATTAAATAAGGTCTATAATTATAAACAGACTGGGATAAAAATGGTATCGTTTGCTGCACCTCCATGCAGGCAATCAACCGACAAAATATTATAAATATAATATAGATAAGCATAATAAGCAGATTATACTGGTTGTTATAATTTCTAGGCTAGTATATATAATATATCTAGATGTGATTGACATTCTATTTTTATCATGTTGTGATTGTTTATTTTCTCTATTCTTGACGAACTTAAATTAAAACGCACTTGCTACCTACACACGTTACATATGCTGCACTATTTCACCCTTTGAGAATTTTAAACGTCTTCTAAAATTACCTTCTTGACGGATGCA